ATAAAGTAAAGTAAGAATAAAGAAAAGTGATGCAAATCAATTGTGGGTTGTTTTTAGTGGTGCTGTTATTTAGTGAATTTTTGGAATTTTAGAGAATTCATGGGTTGCCTTTTAGTTTATGATTGATCATTATTTCACCTGCCTGTTGTATTTTCCAGCAAAAAATTGAGAGCTCAGACTAAATTGGTGTGGCTTCAACAAAGATCAAGGCAAGGAGGAAAATTATCGGTCCTGTGAATTGATTTCGGCCTTCCAGCAGTTTCCCTTCAAAATGCATGTACAGGGACAACCAGCATGTAAAAACAACTTGACTGCCATTCAAGTAACTTCCGCCTGTGTCGCTGCTGAGAGGTTACTAGTAGATATCGAGTCCCCCTTGACTCCAGTGGGATAGTCCAGGGCTCGGTTTTTTGAGGTCATTGACCTTAGCTTCAGCAGACGACAACAAACATGGCTGCCACTGGGAAGACAGGAAACCTGTCTCTCGTTCTCAGCAGGCTGGTGCTGCTTGTTTTTTTGATGATCACACCCTTTACATGCAGCCAGATGCAGAAGAGGCCAAATATTGTCGTGCTCTTTGCAGACGATCTTGGGTTTGTTTATTTTCCTTCTAAGATAACGTCAATTTGCCACATCAAAGAGGGTCTGCATGGGGGGGTCCTGGCAACGGTTAACGGTAAATTCAGCAGGGCCGATAACGCTTAACGGTAAATTCAGGACGGTCAGCAACGCTTAACGGTAAATTGACAGGCTTTTTTTTCGAGCTGCACTGGATTTGGTATCTCGCTTTGTGAGAAAAGGTGATCACTGACAAAATTACGTATACCTTACATGTAATGAAGCATGCATTAAAGGTATGTGTTCCCTGTGTTTCCCACCTGCCCTGGTCCCCGAGTCCGTCAACAAATAAAGGGGAGTCCGAGTCGACGTCGGTCAGCTTGTATTTTTTCAGTCTGCCCAGTTTTACCGATGGATTAATCTAGGGGGAAAATTTAGGATTTTTAAGCCTTCAAAAACGCAATTTCCCGTATTTTGAGAGGCAAATCATGGTGTTGAGAGTGTTTGTCGGTCCTTCTGATGTTTTCATATTTTACTCAAGATTTTTGTTAATTTGCCTGTCAAGGTTGACGGATTCGTTAAAAAAATTCTGTAACTCCGCAAACTTTCGGAAATTGACGGGAAAGCTGGTTCTGGCTAGAGCCGAAGGGACCGAGCGCAGAAGCGCGAGTCGAGCGCCAAAGGCGCGAGCAATGTAGGGGGGTCCGGGAAATTTTGCATTTTTAAACCTTCAATGACGCATTTTCCTGCACTTTGAAATGCAAAATTAGGCGTTACGAAGAATTATTCATTAACGCTTAACGCTGAATTTAGGATGACAAATAACGTTTTACGTTGAATTAAAACGACCAATAACGCTTCACGATGAATATACTGATAACGCTTAACGTTGAATTAGAGCGGGTCGGCAACGATTAACGGTAAATTAAAATAGCCCATAACGGTTAACGAAAAAGGGCATGCAGACCCTCATATAATCACACATGGAAATTTGAAATAAATCAGAGTAATGTTTACTATGAACCTTTCGTTGTAAAATTGCGTATGCAGTAAATCAAATGGTGCTTTGTTTCACTATTGTCATCAGGCTCTAAATCATAAGAGCTGATGGCAGTTGTGACATATTCATGATTAGCAGTATTATATAGTATACATCAGACTAGATATATCAATTTCATATTTTTACCATGAAGGTGTGGAGGGGAAAACAACTAGCCTGGTATCCAGCCTTGTTAGCCTTAGTCCGAGCAGATCTTGGGTAGCGGACAAAAGCTAACAAGGCTGGATACCAGGCTAGAAAACAACTGATGTGTGATAAACCTTCCTTGAATTGTGAGGACATGAAATAAGATGGTTAAAACTCTTGAAAGTATTTCAGCTTTCTTAAGTTTTTTTTTTTTAATCATGCAGCATATTTGTTTAAATAATCATAATCATCCCACTAGTCCAACTAGCTACGTCTACAGCTGCACAGTGCCTGAACTGTGGTACTTCTGGCAGTTAACGCCCCCTGCGTCGTTCTCTCCGCAAAAGGGAACATAAACACACCATCGTCACGTCTGCCACTGGGGCCAAATCAAAGATCATCAAACACTTTTCTCATCATGAGTTCCCCAGGTCGATTCCAGCAAAGTTTGCTTCGCGGCTTAGAAAACTCACCCTAACACTTACCCTTGATATCAATCTTGTCTTGTGTATGTGAGGGGAAAGCAGTTACGATGTAGAGTCTTTGCCAGACCAGTGTGCATTCGTCAGAAGTGTCCCAGTTCACTACTCAGACTGAAATATCTAAATGAAAGAACCGCAATATATGGTAGTGGACGAGACCATTTATAGACGGGTCAATAACAACTATAACATTAATTACATAAAATATGGAAGTGTCAAAAAGCTTTCTCGCTTGCCATATATCATCGTTTAAAAATTTGATTCCAAAAAAATGCAAAATATGTTGCAACTTCATGTGCAACGATAGCACAATAAAATGACTAGTAACGTTACCCACAAGCTAGTGTTATGGTCCACTGGGGTATTCCATACAGAACATAGCACTTTATTCGTTCAAATAAAAGCCTGGAAGCTAAACTTTACTTGGAATGTCACAAAGTTGAAGTTTTGCATATAAATAGCTTAAGTTATGTAAAAACACAATATGCTATTCTATTTATATCAATATCTTCTAAAAATTTGATAAAGCACTTTTTTCAACTACTAGTACTACAGCAGCCTTTGAATCTGTATCGGAATCATAAGCTATATATTTGTAATTCACGTCGCACTTGCGTTCGGCAAAGTGGGAGTAAATTTGCTAAAACTCTGCAGTTTTCGTCAATTTGTCCGAGATATGGGGTCTTCTAAGAAGCATAAGGAGAAAGACAAGGACAGAGAGAAGGATAAGGAACTCGAGAGGGAGTCCAGAAAGAGAAAGAAGGACAAAGATCGCTCAAGATCTAGGTCAAGAGAGAGGAAGCGTGAAAAGAAAGAAAAATCCAGATCTCGATCGAGATCGCGATCTAAGGAGAGAAAACGGGACAAGGAGAGGCACAGGGAGCGTAAGCGGGACAGGGATGGGAAGGAGAGGAAGAAGAAACACAGGGAATCGGAAGAAGTAAGAGTGAAAACAGAGCCACAGGATGATGGTAAGTATTCCTGTCAAAATTTGGGGGGAGGGGGGGCAACTACAGGTATAGTGGGGGAGGGGGGCATGAAACCGCCCCATGAAATATGTAAACATTTGATATGCTTTTAAAATGTACCATAGCTATTATCAACAATGCTACCGTGGAATTCCGTCCTTGCAACTCTAAATTAGTGCGAGGAACTAAGAATATTGCTATATATAGATGAAAGGTATTGCATAATAATATAATAATAATATTGCATAATAGAACAAGAGCCAAAACGTTAATATCAAAGGACATTTGACCTGGACATTTAATCTATATTTTAAAGAGAGTTTTCATAATTTAAGGTGTATTCATGTTTTGTATGTCCAATGAGTCATTGTTGTGAGAAATTCTATGATCACATTGCTGTTTTGCTCAGTGCTCTCTGTATAAAACGTTTGTTTCCCCTTCCCAGATGAGCCAGTACCATCCACATCAGGAGCAGGAGCAGGGGGAGACAGTGCACTCAGCATTGAGGAGACAAAGTAAGGAGCAAATTTAATACTGGGGATAGCTTTGCATATATTACTAGTACTGTAACAAAGCAGGAATCTAGTGGTGCAATGTGTTGAGACTTGAGAACCAATAAAATCCAATGACTTGATTTATATAAACACATTACAATGCAGAATGTTGATCATTGCTAAGACCGTGCAATATGCTGGTGTTTGAATATTTTTTCCTGTGGCAAGTGTAATCATAGTACATTTTTGTAATTCTTATTTCTGGTACTGTAGAACGTATACATGTATGTATATCTTTGTTACAGTAAACTGAGAGCAAAGCTGGGCCTAAAACCATTGGATGTTGCAGATGCCGTAGTTTCAGGTTTGTCTGCTACTTTTTCACATTTGTATTTGAAATTGACTGGGGAAAATAATGCAGGAAAAATATCTCAATGTGGTTATTTCCTGACATACAGCAAAGTATTAGTTTTTTTGTTTGATTCAAAACTTCAGCTCTTGATAAATATGTACTGTGGCAGATGTGTGCATCGTAATCTCCTATGTTTAGCTGAGGAGGAGAAAACAGAGAACAAAGAGGATGTCCACGCACCTGCCATCAACCTGGGCGAGAAGAAGAAAGCAGAGGAGCTGCGAGAGAAGATGAAAGCCATGAGGGAGAAGAGAGAGATGAACAAGAAATTAGGGTCAGCAGACTGGTAGATTTTAGTTAGTATACTGATAGTTGCATGAAGTTTTTGACTAAAATGAATACATCTTTTTGTTTATGACACAAGAAAGTATCATTGTTGAGCAAGGCTTTTTAATGCTACATCATTGAAAGTAGAGGAAATGTTACTTTCTATGCAGAATCTGTTGTTAAAATGTCTGCTGTTTTGTGAAACACAGGAAGGTGAAGGCCCTGGGTGATGATGATGAGTTGGATGATGTGACAGCCTGGGTGGAGCGGAGCCGCAAGCTCCAGATTGAGAAGGAGAAGGCAGCAAAGAGGGTAAACTTAGACATTTAACAGCTTTTATTTCTGCATATGACATAATGGTAAACTTCACTCTGCTAAAGTAACCTTTGGCACCAAATAAAGAAGAGTCAGGCACAGCCAAAATGGATTATACATGTAATATATTGACATTTAGTTAGGGGCATTTTTGGAAAGTTACTAATTACAACCAACTAAACAGTGTTGTGAATGAATTCCAGGCCAGGATGCTGGAAGAGATGGATGAAGAGTTTGGGATCGGTAATCTGGTGGAGGAAGAGTTGGGAGTCAACAAACCTAAGGTTAGTATTCCTCTGGCTTTATTTGTCTTTAGAACAGTCAGGGTTTGCTGATATTTCTGTTGCTGTTCTTCAGTTTTTAAATTCATTTCCTTTTGTCCTTATCATTCCTTATCTCCTGTAGTACTAATATTTTATTTCAGCAGCAATGTTTAGATTTTTATGTGTTACATTGTCCCATTATGAACACTTTTGATATCAATGTGTGAATCCATACTAAGTGTTGACTATTTCTTCCACATGTCTGATGTAGACTTACTCAGCCAGAGACTTGGCCGGCATGACAGTAGAGCATTCAGAGGAATCTTTCTTAGAAGGACAGAGTGTTATCCTGACACTCAAGGACAAAGGTACTGTTGACTCAAAGTCATTTGTTTTGGTCAATTTATTAAAATGGTAGTCCTGAAGTGCTAGTATAAGAAAATAATACTGAACTGAAAGTTGGATGAATGGAAAGTCTGTTCTTGGTGCACATGGCATAAATGCAGTGAGATTCGATGTAGTAGAAATAAATGACATAGTTGTTAGAATAGATGACAGAAAAGTTCATAGTTTCACTACACCATAACATTGTTCTCATCTTGAATTGTTTTAATTGAAAGGTGTTCTGGACACTGAAGATGATGTCTTGATGAACTATAACCTCCTTGAGAAGGAGAAAGCAGTGAAGAACGTTGAGGCGAAGAAGAAGAAACCTGACTACAAACCTTATGATGAAGGCGAGATGGATGAGTTTGGAGTGGTGAGACTTGTACAAGTGTATTTTGTTTGTGCTGAAAATTTTTGACTCATCCAAGGCTTCCATATGACCTTGCACCTTGCTTCTTAGTCCCTTCCTCTGGGTGATACTGGCATGTGCAGTTTTACATGACTTTTGACTGTTTAACTGTGTTTTTGACTGTTTAAATTAACAGTATGAAATATCAGTACCATGTGTTCCTTACTTCCAGTTCAAACCAAAGGATATTCTTGACAAGTATAATGAGGAAATAGATGGAGAGAAGAAGTCATCATTCACTCTAGGTAAGTACATCCCTGACTTCTTCTGTACAAGGTATGTTTCACCTGTACGAAAATCAAGGAGTAAAGTTACTTTACTTTAATCAGTTATTGTTCTTGATAACTCTAAGATAGCCTTTCTGCTACCCCATCATGCTTCCAGAAAGATCCTCAGTGTTGTAAACATTTTGTAATTCCTGATTCCTGTGTTCCTGATTCTACTGTAGATGCCCGGGGAGATGTGGACCTGGAGTCAGAAAGACGGCTACAGGCTATCAGAGAAGAGCTGCGCAAACAGAGCCAGTCCCTCAACCTGGCTGCACCGACACTCGCCTCCGAGTATTTCACACAGGTGGGGACATGGGATTTGTTTCAGTTTGGAATGTGTCTCATCTCAGTCCTCGTTGTCAGCTTGTTTTTTTGCAGAAAGTAGTGCCTAATCTTTTGTACTTTTGAATTTTACCTTTGCTCTGAAGGGTCAATGTAAAAATAGAATAAAATTGATGTATTCAAATATTATTACTAGTGAAAGGTGTAGTGAATAGTGCTACATGTACTTGTTTCCAACAGACTGAGATGGAGGCAAAGTTCCAGAAGAGGAAGAGGAAAGTGAAGAAGATCCGGCGGAAGCGAGTGGTGAAGGCTGACGACCTGCTGCCTCTGGACGATGAAGAACCTGGGTCAAGGTCACAGTCTGTTTTTCTCAAACCTTATATGGTGGGAACAAAATAGACATGGTTGAAGAATTGGAGTTATCATAGTGTGTGAGGTGTCAGTAGCAGTGTTTGACTGATATTCACATTGTTTTTGAGATACTGATAGACAAAAATGAGCTGGAAAAATAATAAATTGATTACAGCTATATTTGATAACTGGTAACAGAATTTATAGGATATGTTAATAGCATGTCTGCAGCACTCCTGATGTGATTTTCTGTCTGTGACATGTAGGAGACAGGAATCCCAAGAGATCCCAGGTCTGGAGCTGGTGGACATGGATGTGGACTTACCGGACATAGATGATGGTAAGCTGGTGTAACATTTGTGTCTGATGCATGTTTAGTGCAGTTTCATGAAGATTCCACATGGAAATCAATAAAGAAATTTGAAAGTGTCTTGAACTCGTATGCTGTCCCATAAGTTAATCACTTCTTCCCTATTCCAAGGCCTACCCACAAAAATATCATGTTTATCCATTCATGAGTAGCCACTCTGTTGTTGGCTAGGCATTTAAATTGAATAGGTACTCTAAATGCTTGTGTATCCTATTGTACTGATAAATGTCCTCCTGTTGTAGTTCCCATCCTAGGTCCGGAGGTGACAGAGGAACCTGTAGTAGTGGATGACGAGGCAGAGGAGGACTTACATCGCGCACTCAGCAAGGCTCGCAAGCTGAAACAGATGAAGGAGAGACGGGCAGGGGCAGACAAGGTGGGGCTTGTTAATGGTGCTGATATGGGAGGGTTTCATTTAGACTTTTGCTGATGTGACAGTGCTTGGACAGGTTTGACTGTATGTGTATACGTATTTATGGGCAAGGTATTTTTTTTCCACTTTCCGTATACATGTGTGCAGTGCATAGCTTGTGTACTTCATGGCTCAAGTCATGTATCCAATTTTGCATGCTTGTACATCAGTATAGCTATTTGCCAATGGTGCTGTGTAGCAGCTCCCCCTATGGGTTGTAGACTGACCTACATCCCCCTGCAGGTGTTGGAGGTTGTGCAGCAGCTGCCCAAGCAGGAGAGGGATGATGATGATGAGGAGGAGGAAGCTGCTGTGCCTGCTCTAGGGAAGCACATCGTGCTGAACGCCACGTCAGAGTTCTGTCGTACGCTGGGAGAGATCCCCACCTACGGACAGTCAGGCAACAGGGATGAGGATGAGGAGGATCTCATGGTGAGAGGCTCAGAGCATGATGGGCATTCTTGGCAGGAAGGAAGTTTGAGGACATTGAATGAAATGAAAGACCTTGGTTGTAAATTTTTCCATAACAAATGGCACTGGAAAAAAATTGAAGCTGTAGCTTTTACTTTGAGTTTGAGGGACACTCAATTTTGAGTCATTGAAAAATTTTTAAGTCAGCTATCACTACAACTTTGATGCAAAGATGTTACAGTATTTGGGAGCATTGGTTTTTTTAATTTTTCCAATGACATTTGTAACATTTCTGTATACCCAGTAATAAGTTAAGTGTTGTGCTTCTAACATAGAACGGAAATTTTGAATAGTTACCACTGTTAAGATGGGGATAGACCGTACAAGAAGAATGGAGGTTGAGCAGAGTTGCCCTGATGCGTGTGTGTTTTATGACAGGACCTGGAGCAGGAGGATGTGAACAGAGGAGAGGATGAGGAGGGGACAGGGTGGAGCTATGTCAACCCTGATCACAGCGACGGGGCTCAGCCAGAGGTACAGTCAGACATTTATAGGATTTTTAGTAAAATGCTTTGTGCTGGGCAAGTGCTTGATAATCACGGTAAATAATTTCATCAGGTTGGAAGATACTTAGGGTATAGAATTTTCTTCTTACACAACCAGTAAGGTTCTCACCTGCTTACGTTTCGATGTCTATCAGACACCTTCCTCAGAGCTTCTGACTGGAGTTCTGCAACTCGCCGCTACCGGGACGAGGGGGGATACAAGCTCAGCCACGTTTGGGATTGCATTCTCGCCGCAAAAGCGCCACCTACATTGGCGTTAAATAGCGGCGAGTTGCAGAACTCCAGTCAGAAGCTCTGAGGAAGGTGTCTGATAGACATCGAAACGTAAGCAGGTGAGAACCTTACTGGTTGTGTAAGAAGAAAATTCTATATCCTAAGTGCTTGATAATCAGTTGCTCAATCATTCATTGTCACTAACTATAAGCTTATCTAGGCACCAAAGTTGATATTTTGTACCATGATAATATAGATTTTACATCTAACACAATCTGTTTCAGTAGGCCTTACTTTTGGAATGCAGATACTTTGTCTGTGGAGTCATATTCAGATGCCTTCTTAGTCATTTTTAGTGGAGTATTCTTGAGCATTTCTAGAATATGGCTTGATGCAGTTCGTCCTTCCACCTCTAGGAGGACCACCTGCACAATATCCTGGATGAGGAGCCTGCACTGGACACAGGCTTGGCTGGAGCTCTCAGTCTGGCAAGAAAGAAAGGTAAACTTCAGTCTGTTTTCATCAATATTCTTCAGTAGGTGTCCTTAAATTTTCTTGATGTTGGATTAATGAATTTTGTAGGTCTGTAGAAAAAGCAGCCTAGGCAGATAGTGCCATCTAGGCAAAATAAGTGTCCTTGTCCCTCAGCCTGACTGCTTCCTCTGTATGTATATCAGAATTTTTCTTTTTCTATGACTAAACCCAGGTTACCTGGAGACTGAGACCAGGAGGAAAGGTGCCACTATCACCACCAAAATGTCCATTCCTGAGACTAATTACACCATAGAAGACAAGTCCAGGTGAGTCAGTGTCTGCATATTCCAAAGACTCAGTGAAACACGTGTCATTCCGTTATGTCACATTAACTTTGGCAACATGACACAGAAAAGTCTTATCAGAGTAGTGCCTGAAACAGAAGTATGAACAGTCTCCGACCACGATAAACTGTACCTTAGATCATAAGGTGGCAAACTTGCAGCTGGTTGCAGCATGCAATGAATTGCATCCTAAGACGGTCTGGTAGGCAATGTTTGTCGTGAGAACTGCATCTGCCACAGGTGTGACCAAAGGACATTGCAGACAGTAAACAGCTGTATCTAAATAACAAATGTGCCTTGAAACCTTTATCATCTCTTCATACTTGTGTTCTCCATCTTTAGGGAGTTTGAGGACAACAGAAAGTCTCGTTACGACCGTGGGCCGGTGGTGGACTTTAAGGAGAAGGACACGTACAGGCCTGATGTGAAGATTGAGTACATCGACGAGACAGGCAGGCTGCTCAACCCTAAGGAGGTACAGAAAAATATTACCCTTTGATTTGTGAGAGGATTGGTTATTTGTATGTTGTACTGAAGTGAACACTTTTACAGCCCCAAAAGGACGTTTTTATATGTATAGTGTATATAAATTGTATATCCTATATCCTGATATTGAGGGAATGTTGCCAATGATGGATGGAAACGTTCCCCCTGTATTTTTCAGGCATTCCGGCAGCTGTCTCACAGATTCCACGGGAAGGGTTCTGGGAAGATGAAGACGGAGAAAAGGCAGAAGAAACTAATGGAACAAGAGGTCTGTACTGTCCGTAACTTACTCGTCTTCAGGTAGCCTCTTTACCTGTCTTGTAAAAAATGGAACATTAACAAGCATTTGTTTGCAGCATGTTAGAACTGAGCACTACCTTTTATACTCTCCAAATCATGCAGTTCATTTCAAAGTTGCTTTCAGCCTTACCCATTCTTTCATGTACAATTCAGCTATACCTTTGAAGAAATCTCAAAGTAATTTGTGGCAAACATTTACTTGGTTGTATGGCAAGCCTTCTTGATATGGCATAAATTGTCTTTGAAAAACTTTCCTATCAATGTTGCAGCTGTAGGTTCTAGAATATTTACCTTTATTTGGTCTTGTCTTGAACTCAACACACACACAGAGAAGAATACTAGTGTGACTAATATCTGATACTTCTGTTGAAGTACTGAAGCCTGTAGGTTTTGTAACATTGCGACGTTGTTGTCCAGATGGTGAAGAAGATGAGCTCCATCGACACGCCCCTGAACACGCTGGCCAAGCTGCAGGAGAAGCAGAAGGAGACGTCCTCCCCGTTTGTGGTGCTCAGCGGAGGCAAGAACCAGATGTAAGTCTGAAGCAAGGGAATTCAGACTGCAAGTACAGTTCAGAATTACGAGTACTGATAGCAGCATTCTTTATTTTGGGTGGCTTGAAATAAAATATATATTGTACCTAAAAGTAGCATAAAATGTAGATTAGCATAGTCAGTCTTGCATAAAATCTATAAAATAAAAGTTGGTTTATCACAAAATACCAACACATTAAAATACAGTGACATTGATAAATGTACAACCATGTCTGTGACATATGCATTTCTGTCAGTCACATAATTCAATAGCAATAGACAGCAAGGTATTAGCATTCAAAGTACATTTATGATTTAGCATTGTTCTATTTTGAAATATAACTCCTGTCTCTCTTTCTTGCAGGAACACCATCACCAAACCCAAGTAAAAGCACAAGCACAACAGGTCACACCAATTTGATACCTTAGTTCTTAACTCCATCAAATATGTTCCAATAATCATATGTTAATATATCTGGTTAGATACTAGAGATACTAATTAGAAGTTATAAAGATTTTGGGTCATCTTTTATCCTGATGTATTCATGTCATGTACTAGGGCTGCGGACCGGTACACTGTACCGGTCCAATACCGTAAAAATCGTTTCGGTACAGGTCCAAAATACCGGACCATGAAGTAACGAGTATATACCGAAATAGCTAGTTTACACCATGTATATGACTAAAGATAGGTAAATCCTACCACAAAGACGAAAAATTAGCACTGGAAAAGACGTAAACACCGTCGATTGATTTGAGATCCTCAGTCTCACGAGACATCGCGAGAGTGTGGCTGATCCAGGGTTGTGATTGGTCAACAAACTCAAATCAGGTCAGAGGTCAGTCATTTTCCCTTCCCTCCAACACTTTATTATTGTTTCTGTGTCATGATTGAAAAAGTGAAGAACACGTGTTAATTTGTCAAATTGTTCAGGAACAGGTCCGGACCTGTACCTAAACCTCTGTACCAGTACCAGTACCTGTACCTGATGTTACGTTTAGGTACGCAGCCCTATCATGTACAATGCCCTATTTTAGCTATCCACTCCATTTCCTACTTCAAAAAATAGATGATTAAATTGGTGTGGCCTTTTAATCTAGCACCTGGGAGATGAAGTCACAGTAAGGGGTACAGACCAGTCATAATGTAGGATATAAGGGAGATACGTTTGCTGATATCTATATATATACAACTAGTATTAGATGCTTCAGAAAAGTATGCCTGAGAAATGAATTCAAAAATTGGATGTAACTTTAATAACATGTACACATTGAAATTTAAAAACATTTTCTGCATTCTTTATATTTCTTCTGTTTATTAGCTGGTAGACTTGTAAATGTCTGTGTACATAAGGCATTTTTTTGTTCAGAAAATTGTTGTCATTTGTAAGCTGTGATTGTTCTGAGGGCAAATCAGAATCATGGAAAATGGGTAATACTAGTATTACACATACATGTATGCATACATCCTGATGATATTGTGATGAATAGTTGGCAAATTAAACATTGGTTTTCAATGTGGACTTTTTTCTTTTTAATTCTTTTTTAACTCTTCAACAAAGCTGTTGAAGAGTAAATGAGTGTAATATTAACAGTGGTTCATTCTACTGTACTTGTAATGCCACTCGATGCTACATGTAACCACACCATAAAGTAATGAAAGCCCAATTTTCTTAAGTGTTCCAGAGTCTTCTAACACTGTTGCAAAATGTTAGAAATGTGCCACTACCTTTTAAGATTCTTACACACACACACACACACAAAAAAAATTAAAAGCCTTCAATAACATTGTTATCCAGTAAGCAAACCAGCCATGGTTCAAAGCTGTTTTCTCGGGGGCTGACTACTAAATCCTAGTATCACTTGGTTGTGGACCCTATAATTAAAGATCTGTAATAATAATAACTTGTGCCTTCACACATTCTGAAAATATTGAACAGTTGCCTTGCACATATTGGTATGCTCTTTCTTGCTCATTTTACCCACCTAGGTTTCATTTAAGACCATTGGATTGTCCTTTACTAGTACATTGTCCATAGTATTAGCATCTTCATAGAAGTATCTTCATAGAAGTTACCATGTCCATCTCACTGTCTTGGAGAAGGGAAGGCTGCTGATGAAGTTGCATGTAGAATGAGAAGTGGAAAGGAAAGAGATGAGGTCTGCTATAAAGGAATGTTCAGGGAGCCAGGAAGTTTCATCTTCCAATGTTCTACACTTACGAATGAATGCACATCATAGGGATGTCAATGAACTTTGCTTTTGGCAAAGAAAGGGGCATCCAACAAAATATTTGTGCTGGAGAACACAGGCATTCATACATGTAAGTATTATAGTTTGATGATAGTAAATAACATCTTCATAACAAATTGAAAATTACAAACTTGAATTGCCAACTAAGTTCTAACGTACTAAAGACAAACCAATTCTATATCACTTTTTCACATTACAAGCTCAGATTGTAGAAAGTAAGGCAAGACAAAGTAGTAGTGCTGCAGAGCTGCCTATGACAGATGTCAGAGGGAGATGCCTTAGATTGATCTTGAACTTGAAGAATCAAAGAAGGAGCAAAGCTCTGTTGTTTGTTTTTTCTTGTTTTCTTTTTTTAGTGTTTAGACCTTCCTCAGAATGGCCATGACTTGGAAAGCTGTCATTCGGGTGCTCCTTCCACAGGGATTATACTGCCCATGACCCCAAATCATGGCCACTCTGAGGCATCAACAGTGCTTCTCTTATGGACTAACCAGGTCTGAACAATCCACAATGACCTTGATGAAGATTGTGTCTTCATTCAGGTATGTTTTAGACTCAGCCACTGATTGTGACACAAACAGCGGGCAGCCTGAGGCGATGTTCATATCGCTCGTGGGGCGCTTGAAACTGCTGCTGGTCGGATCAGGCCGGAATGTGTCGGACAGGTGACGCCTGCCCTGATCCTGATCCAGCAGCATCAGCGTCACCTTCTGTCTAAAAGGCCAGGGCAGCAGAGCATCATATTCCCCCCGCATGACTACAAAGAACAGGGACATGTGGGTACCCTTCCCCATACCATCCCCATTCAGATACACTCTAGCACACATCTTATACCCAAACTGAGATGTGTAAAAGGGCTGGCTGTAGAGAGACAAAGTTCTTCCAGTCACAGCGTCGTGCTTCCTTCTGGTGTAGTCTTTGATCTTCCAGAGCAGGGTGCCGTCAAAGCTGGCTGTCTCCAGGATCTGGAAGCGGAGGTCCATCTCAGCCAGTCGGACATCGTGGATGCCCAGTTGACGGTCGTGAGCATTCAGCTGAGTTTCCAACACTCCTGGAAGGAGAGTCAGCAATGTTATGGTAGTAGAGCTTCATTAGATAGCTTGAATTCAGTCTAAACAACCTGGAGTTAGATATGCAGGGGTTACAAATGCCAGATCATTTGACGTAATAAAACCATCCACTGCCGCATGCCCGTGAAGCTTGTGTGTTAAACCAAAGGGCATTTACATCTGCTGAACTGTCAGATACAGATAAGAAGATGTGCAAAATGAGAAACCTGAAAATCCATCTCCCTTGCTGCTGCTGGCTCCTCCTCCTCGTGACTCCAGACTGTTGACTCGGTTGTCCAGTCTCTTCACCTGTTCCTTTACTGAACTCAGGTCTCTCTTCTGCTGATCCACCTCCTCTTTCTTTGCAGTAGCTCCTAGTCCTTGCTCTATATTTATCTGCTTGTCAGTCTGACTTGCCATCATTTTCTGCATCAATATTGACAGATACAGCAATGTAACCAAAACAACTCAGAAATTAAGTAACAGTGATTCCTACTCATACAGCATCCTCATAAAATGAAGTACTTTTTTGACAGATGAAAATTCAGCTCAAATCATTTGGGTACGTCCAAACACGTACAAAGTAAAGGAGTTATCATACAATCGAATGAAAGCTCATCTGTGTTGGTAGAATCCATAGTTAAAGAGTTTGACTTGTTCCAACACAAAAAGGGAACTCACCATAAATTTTCGGCTGATCCCGTCAACCTTCGTCAGATTTGTGATGCAGTCGCTGACTTTCCGGAAGTCGGAAACGTGATGACGTCAGGAGTGCATCAAAAGTGGCGGGAAGACGGTATCTCCCACCATCACTGTTCAGAGAGGGTTGGTGGGCCCTGATGTAAACTGCCTCCTTCACGCCTCTCACAAAGTAATCCTGCTCCGTATCTAGAATGCGCACCTTGTCCAATGTAACTGTATGTCCGGGGGACTCGATGTGTATGTGTTGCGACACTTCCGATGTGTTTGAACTAGGGCGCCTGTGTTCCAAAAATCTAGTCTTGAGAGACCGTTCTGTTTCCCCTATGTATGTCTCTGGGCAAGGTCCTCTGATATTTTGACCTGTGCACCGAATGTGGTAAATGCAGTATTGACTCTATCACATATCGCAGCTCAAGATACATAGCCGATATCTTATCACCCCTGGTTGGTCAATCCCCTCACCACATTGTAAACTCACAAGACTTTGTGGAGAAGATTCAACAACAAAGAGTAGAGTCTGACGAAGTGTTACGCTCATACGATGTCACGGCTTTATTTACGTCAGTTCCCATAGGGAAAACACTCGACATCATCCTACAGAGACTTGAAACAGACACCACTCTCAAAGAGCGCTCCACACTTTCACCTACGCATGTGGTTAACCTATTGAAAGTCTGTTTAGATTGTATGTATACAATGGAGAATTCTATCGCCAGATCCACGGGGCAGCTATGGGCTCCCCAGTCTCGCCGATTGTGTGTAATCTGTTCATGGAACATCTTGAACAATTAGCCATTAACACTGCTCCCAATCCCCCACTGTGGTGGTATAGGTACGTGGACGATACACATACGAAATTAAAAAGAGCACACGCTGACGAGTTTACTGAATACCTTAATAGTTTGGACCCCGACATAAAATTCACCAAAGAAGAAGAACAGAACAAAACCTTACCTTTTCTGGATACTCTTACAGTGGTGAAAGACGATGGTTCGTTAGACATTAGGATCTACAGAAAACCCACCCACACGGACCAATATCTGAACTTTAGTTCTAACCACCCCCTTGAGCACAAACTGGGTGTCATTCGTACATTGTTTCACAGGGCGGACACCATTATTACCAACCCCCAAGATAGGGAGGCTGAGAAAGAACACATCACTCAGGCCTTGCTAAACTGTGGCTACCCCAAGTGGGCAGTTTCCAAGGCAACTGCTCCCAAACGTTCTACAACTGATAGAAACCGTCAGTCAAACTCTTCTACGAGGCAGAACAGAGGTTTAGTCGTCCTACCCTATGTTAAGAACACCTCTGAAGCTTTACGGAGAATCTTCGGGACACATGGCTTAAAAACGTGTTTCAAACCGACCCGTACATTAAGACAGCTATTAGTGGCCCCCAAAGACAGAACCCCCTAAGAACAAAAGTGTGGCGTGATTTACCACATTCGGTGCGCAGGTCAAAATATCAGAGGACCTTGCCCAGAGACATACATAGGGGAAACAGAACGGTCTCTCAAGACTAGATTTTTGGAACACAGGCGCCCTAGTTCAAACACATCGGAAGTGTCGCAACACATACACATCGAGTCCCCCGGACATACAGTTACATTGGACAAGGTGCGCATTCTAGATACGGAGCAGGATTACTTTGTGAGAGGCGTGAAGGAGGCAGTTTACATCAGGGCCCACCAACCCTCTCTGAACCGTGATGGTGGGAGATACCGTCTTCCCGCCACTTTTGATGCACTCCTGACGTCATCACGTTTCCGACTTCCGGAAAGTCAGCGACTGCATCACAAATCTGACGAAGGTTGACGGGATCAGCCGAAAATTTATGGTGAGTTCCCTTTTTGTGTTGGAACAAGTCAAACTCTTTAACTATAGAGTTATCATACAGTGTGGCCCAGATGTAATTATGAGCTCTCACCATGTTGACAAAAGTTTGCCTACAAGATTACAAACAGAGAGGCTAACAATGGCAGAATAATGACTGAATTGTTTTTTTAATATCCTGGTTACCAGACCTATTATAGCTCCCAAGTCCTACATCCTCTCCTATTTGCTAATAGGATGTAGGACTCGGGAGCTATAATAGGTTTGGTAACCAGACTAGTTTTTAATACTTCAACAAACAGCATTGCTTAAGCACAAGAAAATATAAACCTGTAAGGCTGCAATCTTTGCTTCCAGTTTGCTATGACTTTGCTTCACACTTGCAATTTCATCTTCCTGTTGTTTAACCTTTTCCTTCAGTACTTCTGTCTCATTGTTCTTTTCCTGCAATTCTCTCTTAGTCCTTGAATGTTCTAGTTCCAAAGAGCCAAGACTTCTGGTCACCAGTTCAAAGTGTTCTGTCATGGACCTAGATTCATGGTCTTGTAAGGCTGATCTTCTCCCCTAAAACATCAAGTAAAAGTAGGTACAGGGTGGCATTTAACAACAAAGTGAACAATGCTGAACATAGACAGAAAAGAGAATAATGTAAACAGTTTGAAAAGAACAATTGTTTCTTAATGCAAATCACACCTTAAATTTGCTTCATTTTATGGACTTTTGGCTACCTTACTGAAGACGAAGGGTAAGATAGTTGTGTAAACTCAACAACAATAATCAAAGCAGCTTAATACTCAACATGAAAATTTGAAGAGATACAAGTATAAAGTACCATGATGAGTTTTTGTGATAACAGTATAACTCTATGGTATAAGGCAACATACAATTTGTGTAATGTATCACAAACCTTGAAGGAACAGCCATGTGAACTGAAGCTACATTCAGCTTCTGCAACTGGACAAACCTTGAAGTGTTCTTCCAGCTAAACAAAGCATAATTTTGGTCAAATAAATCTCTCAAGTATCCAGTAGATGCATTTGAATAGAATTGAAAATACAAGTAGGTCTGCATTGACTTACTGTAATGACTTTTTCAACAATTTACAGTTTGTCAAACTCAAAAGTAAGGACAGGACCCATTTTTACCTGAGCTCTTTGAATATTAGTTGTGCCACAGTTGTTGGGACATACAACTGGAATATTTGCACAAACTTGTCTCTCATGGTCCTACACATACAGAAATAATAAAAACCAGGTCAAGCAAACAGCAGATGGATAGGTTATGTGTATCTTATTGACATAGTATCACACCTGGGAGGAAAAGGGAGAGAAAGACCAAAAAGAGAATACTGTAATTGAAGTATGCCTGAAATATGAGTCAAGTCCTTCCTTGCAGCTCGCACTGTGACTCATGCCAATTGAAACTGCAGTTACGGTACATGTATTCTAACAGCATCCGTCCTCTAGTAGTTTTGTTATTTGTGTGAGTCAGCCGTTGCCTGCAATCATGATGCATCAATGACATACCATCCTTCACTGGAATCCAAGAAAACATGTTAGCTGCATTACGTTTTCAGACCATTAGAATATTAGAGCATGTTTTTCTTTACATTGACTTATCTTATGTAGTGATTTCCTTCCAATGTGGGAAAATATAGTCTGAGATACTATTATTTCTGCGATAAGAATCTATATTCTAAGTTTGTACCTCAAGTTGGGACACAGCCACAAGTTCCCCACAGAAGCTGCATTGCTCCTGTCTATAGTTGCACTCTGACTCTAGATGGTGGGGCAGGTGACGTCTCTGAACGGTTACTATACATCCAGCTTCCTTAAAGATGCAGTCAATAATGGCATATTCACACTCGTTTACATGGGCCTGTGTGTGAAAAAAGATTGATCTTATGTTAGATCAAATCTACAATTACATGATAACAACACTATCTCTTAGCTTTATCTATAATTTTCAAAGCTATCTGTAGTTAACTTACCTCTAGATTTCTCAACAGAACAATTTCTTGGCATCCATTTTTCTTGAATCTACAGTAAACTTTGGACATCAGAATCTCCCTTTTGCAGAAAAGGTCAGGAAACACCTGGAACAAGCACACATCCTCATGATGTATTGCATATGAAATCAGAGATCTCAGACTTCCAACAATCAGTATTGGTGGGTACCTGGTGCAATCCCCAGCTTCCTGAATTCTCCCAGGTGGACCATTCCTCTTGGCTGTTATCCAATGCCATTCATTTCCTGTGTCTGACTTTTTCACCTACTCTCCAAGCAGAGGTTGGTGGTGGAAGATCGTTTGCTTTTTATATATGGCCCTTTTTTTGTCGCTACCACCACCACCACTTGGGTGGGGAAATGGTTACATACGCCAATTTGATACTGTCTTAACCCCACCAAAAGATCTGCTTGGAGATTACTTTTCACCACCGGTTATTTTGCCTATCAATCTTCCATGCCATCAACCTACTCTGTCTGGACAGACACTTAAACCCACAAATCAGACACCCCAAACAATATAGATCATGATTTCAAATCCTGTATTTCTGTAATGACTATTTTACCCAATACACACAAAAAAGTATGAACCTCATCTTGTCTTAGCTCTTCTCCATCGATTGGACATTTGGGGGATGGCTCTCTGAAAGACATAAGCAGACTTTATTTGGGCTACAGACATATGCAGAACATATCTGTAACTGGTTGAAAAAAAACGGGTTTTGTATGGTAATCATGGTGATGTTGTGGTCATGACAACATGGCAATCCTTGTTACATAATTAATAGTAGCAATATGATATGATTGGCTTGCTCTACATCTTACTATAGCACAATAGTGGCATAATTGGCTACTTTTTAACCAATCAAGGAACTTAGCATTTTTGATCGAACTCAGTGATCAAACCGAAACTAAAAACTTACTTCAATGTTATTGTGATGCAGTAGTTACAATATCTATGTCCACATCCTGTTTGCCTTGGTTCTCTGAGAATAAAGGTACAAACAGGACATCTATATCTGTCATCTAAGGGCGACACAAACTCTTCATCGAAACCGCCCTCCCCATCATCGGAGGGTAGTGAGGAGGGGGGTGGGCCCCCAGCTGCTCCAGGGGGAATGTAGTCACTCATAGTTTCACTTCTTTTATCCTGTCACATTTCCCTGTGTGAACAACATCAGAAATAGTTAGCGTTACATAGGTGAGTATGTAATATAAAATCAAAACGTTTTATAAAGTGTAAGAATAGGGCTTATATATCTTCCCGTTTGACTAAATCACGCTCATCACGTTGCATAAAATTGTCCCAACCTTCCTACCTCGTGTTACCACCATTCATGCCTTTCGAGACTGCTTCTTCTTTGTGACAAACACTCTTTGATGCAAGATCAACGTTATATTTCAATTTGTTGGCAGTAAACGTAACAGTACTAGCCCAAAAAATTATTCAAACTCCGTCCGGAAGAAATTCTTAGCCCTTGATTGGGTGCATGCTGATTCATGTTGACCAATAACGCCAGCATTCTGAGCTCAAGTCCGGACAAGACTTATCCCCAACCAACTTTGACCTCCCCCACCCTCCTCACCTGCGTACTTCCTTTGCAAACGTTCTACCGCTAAAGCCCTGTTTACTCGGAACAGGGCTGTCCAGCGCAGTCACCGTGTAATGCCTGCGGATTTGAAACCTATCCGATCATGAACCCGCAGGCGCCGCGGTGATGAGTGATCCTTACCTGTGATGTATTAGACCTGTGAGTGACGTATTGACCTATGACGTAGTGCTCATTAATCAATAATCAGCCAGTTTAGATTCTTAGCTCATTTACATGTTAGCATTAGCCAATAGTAACTACTACTAGCTGGTGAGAGCAGCTGGTAGGAATAATGAATGAATGAAGACCTTTATTGTACATTTGTGTTCTACAGAACTAAGTACAGGTCGCATGGATATAGAACATGAACATAAACATATAAGTTACATTACAAACATATGAACATATAAGAGTGTAAATAAATGTCTAATTTCTATTCTTTTCGGCTTCATCTCGCTTACTTAGTAGTGATTATATGGACATATGCGGCTGTGAGATTACTTAGAGTAAGTTTATAAAAGTTAAAAGGAATACAAATTTCTCTTTACTAGTCAAATAACTTAAGTGGGGAAATATACTTAATACATGGCTAAAAATATGAGTCTATCTCTACTATACAAGGGGCAATCTATGGTGAAATGTATTTCATCTTCTATTTGGCCTAAACTACAGAATTGACAGGTTCTTTGTTCTAGAGGAGTGCGGTTATGTCTTCCTGATTCGATTCGTAATTTGTGACAATTTGTTAAACCCGCTAGTTTGAATTCATAATTGACCCGGCTCGATGTCTTCTCTTGATGTATACAGTAACATTATCTTAGTCGTTAGAGAAAGACACGAACATTAGATTGGCCGAAGACAGAAAAGTTACAACAAGAATCCGTGAGAGAGTAAAACTGCGTGGTGAAGGCCACAACAAACCGAAGCTTCCCAAGGACTGCATCTGATGGAATCGCCTAGATGCAAGCAAGGCCTGAGGAACAGGAGAGAGGAGGACTCCTCTCTTCAACCTCCTTGATACTATTACTGACTAATCGCGCTCCTGGCGGCCGGCCGCCCGAAGTTGCCGCCGGTGGGGGTCATAAAGCTCCAGCCGAGAGCAGGCCGAGAGCTAGTAACATAGGCTAATACTAACGTAGCATAACCCCGATCTTGTTTGTGATCCAGATTCGGGGGATCGATCGGGCCGTGGGATTGGACATTATGTATCAATGACCTTGATGTAACGTTGACAAGCGCTGACACTCATTTGCCAGGTGTCGCGTTATTAAACGTCGCAGTAACGTCATGGCGGGCTGCCAGTGATGTTGGCTCTGGATTAGTTTTGAGAGACAGTGTCAGCTAATGCCTAACTTTACACAGGCGATAAAAACGTATAAATCAAAAATCAAAACAGCCTTATTCGCCGTCTTTTAATGTGATTTCAAATCAGATTGCCAAGAAATAAAGCAAAGTAGGTTAAACACTCAACTACAGCATGTGGTGTAACATTATAAATATACGGCGTAGGCACCTCTTCAAATTAACGGAGGCACCCTTGAGGATCTTGAAACTGTATTCACAGTGACGTAATGGAAACTTCCAGCGGGGAATCCCCTGACGTCATTAGTGCGGCTGTCCTGCTCGCATACGCCGTGCCTGCTCGCCAATTTACTGTTTTCCAGAACATACGAAAAAGCAGGATTGTACAAATCACAAAAAATATAGGCTGTATATAAACATGAGTGATAAGGGACGATTTAATGCGGTAAACGTATTGGAACAACGATTAAATTTAAAAAAACATGCACTGCTAGTGGTGGGGGAAAGGGGCCTTGATCATGTTGATGTGACGTTCGGGGAATCACCTGCGTCACGAGGAGTTAACCTTTTACCCCCAGAAAGTTAGCAATGAGCCTTTAACTTAATATCTTAAGGATAATACGTAGTATGTGCACGCTGTAGTGCCTTCCTGGAAAACGTTTTTTTATGTTCATTATTATCGACGTCATGAGTGGTGGATATTTGAATACTCGCTTTGTGACCGCTGAATATATATCATTCGTCACACGTCAATAAATTTGATCACTGATATGTAACGAAATGTGCTGCAATTTTCTATTATTGCATCATGCTATTAATATCCAGTCTAGTATTTCTGAACACCTATAACTCAGAACCAGTAAATAAGTACCTTTTTATGTACAAGCCTCAGCAGCAAAATTCATGTGAGACATCCTGTTCATTTCTTGGGTTTAATTGGGACTCGTTAGTCAGGGCTGTTTTTAAAGGAGTGGTCGCAAGCATCGTCAATTGTATCGACCACACACAGTAACGGCGATGGTTTTCTATCTTGCTGCAATAAGTCGAAAAAACATGGCCCGATTGTGAAAGCATCGTTTCGGAATATCAGTGCAGCGTTTGGGTACAGTACCACACTGAAGATACTAGTAGGTCGGGATATGATGTCATTTACATATGGACGGACGCGCATCTTTTTCTCGTCAGTTCGCTGTTTTCATATCATTAATTGATAATGTTTGTGACGTTAGTCAGGGTGTGGATTACGTTGCGTTGCCAATGCATGCAACTGATCGTGACATGGAATTTGTAACGGACAGTACGCATAGCTTTTGAAGTGCCATTTTGAGCTACGTCTGTGCCATGGACTGGCCAGAACTCATGTGATCCCATGCTGAGAGGCGTTTTAATAGCCATCCCGGTTACCCGTCGGCAAGTCAACAAGCCTACAGTCCATGACGTCACTCACATGGACCGACAAGAAAGGGATAACTCGCGCGTACTTTCCTTTTCCTCATGTGACACTAGTATGGGAAAATTCGTTAGGAGATTAGTAAGATAACATACCTTGTACAATCCCTATCTTCAACTGAGACAAACCCACGGTGACCAACACTGGTCGAGCAGGAAGTTGCTACAAATTTGACTACGAGTCCCGTGAGCAGGGGGATTTCCACGCAGCTACATGTATGTAGTCGACTTAATAATGAGTCGGCTGCCTACTTGCAGCGGACGAAAGACAGCACCGAAATTCATGCTTTAGGCAAATTTCTGAATCATACATGAATTCCTGGGCAACATACTATAGAGCAAGGCTTGCGAAAATCATCACTCTACAATTTTATATGATGTATGGTAGCTAGCAGTTGAATAAACATATCTGCCACTAACAAAATGGTACCATGTCGTTGATGTGATAAAATCAACAAAAACAAGAAACTGAACGGTTAAATCAAGAGCTTCAACAAATGCTGCGACACAACTACAATCGACATACAGCCTGAGTGCCACGGTCAGCCTGTAATAGCTTTCGTCCCTTCCCCACGATCCGCTACCAGCCGGTAGTGTGTCTGACTCTGATCACAAATAGTTGCCGCAGTCATTACGTGTGGTTGTGTAGTTTGAACATGCTATCCCTCTTATCGAGCTTCTTCAACGAGTGGTGTTGGTCCTTTTGCAGTTCATTTGAACCAAACACTTGTGTGTGTTGAATTATTAAAGACAAGTTACAGTTTTTCAAGCTAGTTCTGATCACTCCACCGATCACGGCACCTATGGGGTCTTGCAGGTGTGTGAGCCAATGAACGTACCATGGACAGGTAAACCTTGAACCGGTTGGTTCTGCTATTTTCCAGATTTCGGTGGTGGTAGTGTAGTGGCCGGGCCTGATTTCCTTCATTGGCCTCCCACTATAACCTAGCCTGGTTGGATTATACTCGTACCAGACCCATTTTAGCTCCGGAGTCTTTATCGTCAGCTCCCGAGTCTTTATCATAAAATCTCGGGAGCAAAAATAGGTCTGGTATTCAGGCTAAATACAGCCCCAGGCCTAAACCTAGGTTTGGAAAATATGTTCTGTGGTCGAAACACCCTTCTCTTGTCACTGCTTTGGTCCAGAATTCAAACGTCACGAATCAGGAAGATGTGAAAAAACACGGGTATGACAAAAACCTGTAAAATGAAAGTACTCTAAAAGAGTATAGAAAGAAATATCGCACACATCTGAATGCATTTTGCTGGCTTTTCTTTTATTTGTTATTCATGGCATCAAAAATGGTCAGAATACATGCTCCTTCTTACCCAGGCACCTCTGTGCACAGGATAACAGCCATATCTTCAGTTACTGTTGAACATTAACGGTTACCGGTACAGGTAGAATACTCGGGCCGGAATTGCTGCACTGACTGTTTTACAGACTGGTGGTCGTGACATACTTAGAGATGTTATAGTAGCCTAAGGCTAAGATGAAAACTTGCCTTTTTGGCATTGCCATTGGTTGTCTAACCTCCATGTATAGCCTACCGGTTGATGCATGACCAGTAGTTGCGAGGCACTAGTAATTAGCTTATGGCCCAACCAGGTCTGATGTCTCAACAATAACTTTGATAAAAATTGTGTCGTCTTTAAGATAAGGGCTCCCCTCTACCACAGCCTGAGACACGAACAGTGGGCAGCCTGACGCGATGTTCATGTCGCTCGTGGGGCGCTTGAAACTGCTGCTGGTCGGATCAGGGCGGAATGTGTCCGACAGGTGGCGCCTGCCCTGATCCTGATCCAGCAGCATCAATGTTACCTTCTGTCTGAAGGGCCAGGGCAGAAGGGCATCATAGTCTCCCCGCATGATTACAAAGAACAAGGACATGTGGGTACCCTTCCCCATACCATCCCCGTTCAGATACACCCTAGCACACATTTTATAACCATTTCTACTGGTGTAAAAGGGCTGGCTGTAGAGAGACAGAGTTCTCCCAGTCACAGCGTCGTGCTTCCTTCTGGTGTAGTCTTTGATCTTCCAGAGCAGGGTACCGTCAAAGCTGGCTGTCTCCAGGATCTGGAAGCGGATGTCCATCTCAGCCAGTCGGACATCGTGGATGCCCAGTTGCCTGTCTTGGGCTGCGAGCTGTGTTTCCACTTCACCTATGAAGACACCAAGGTACTTTGTCATAAACCTCAAATTCAGGATGGAACTCATCTGAGAATAGACTACTAGCATATGTCCAAGCAACCTTTGTTTTATTTCATTTATAAATTTAAAAAGTTCCTTACAACAGTCTCATACCTGCTGCACCTGAAAACAGCCCCCCTCCCCCTGATCCTCTAGTCTCCAACTTTGTCAGTCTGTTCTCAGTTGTCTTCATTGTCTCCTTCACTGCGGCCAGGTCTCTCTTCTGTTCCTCCACATCAGTCTTTTTCGCGGCTGATGTCAGATCCCCTTCAAACTTTATCAGTTTGTCAGTTTGGTTGGCCACCATTTTCTGCCAGGAGAAACAAATTTATGATGTATGATTCAGATACTGCTAGAATAAGTTTTTTTCACAAAAAGCTGCTCACACACACATATCATTGTTTATACTCGCGCTAGCAGATCAAACTAAGAACAACTGTATAGGAAACGTACCTGTAAAGCCCCTATTTTGTTGTCCTGCTTGTCGACCTTCTGTTGGAGCGATGTGATCTCAGTGGCCTGCTGTCTGACAGTGCTCTGCAGGAGGTCTCTCTGGTTAGAAACTTCTTGCAGCTCCCTTCTGGATTCGGAGTAGCTGAGCTCCAAGCGGGCCAGACTTGCAGTGAGCATGCTCAGATGTTCGGCCATAGACAGGGCATGGTGTTCCTCCAGCTGACTCCTCTGGCCCTGTACAGATCACCAGATCAGAGAGTCAGTCGTATATATTTAACTTGTAGACAACAAAACTGAAGGAGATCAAACGAAGATCACTTGGCAAAACAGAAAAAGATAAGAAAGGTATCTTATATTCAAAGTGTCGTCATGAAGGGTAATGCATGAAGATGTTTACCTTGAAAGTACACCCGCTGCCACTGTAGCTGCATTCTACCTCAACAAGAGGACAGTCCTCAAGGAGATGTTGGTCTACCTGTGGATGATCATAGTTTTGTAAATAGATGATTAAGTTAATTTTACTATTTTATGTGATCAATGATTTGATTTACACGAGGGGATGGTAATATAGACGTCACTTTTGATGGTTTCTTTATCAATTATTTACCGTTAGAAATATATCCAAAGTGTACGCTTGCCTATATAGGGATCAGCCTGCAAAAGGTTTGTGTAAGAAAAAGAAGTTGTACCTGTTCCCTCGTGACGTCCGTTAAGCCGCACCCGTTCGGACAGGACGCCGTTGCTTTAGGACACTGCATCAGGTGGTCCTACCGTGGAAAAATATAATGCGGTTTGGTCGAGTATAAGTTCTCTCAATATGGCTTGATGAAAACCAAAGCATCATTTCAGACCCGTCAGAATCAAAAGAGTGTAAACTATATTCCTACTCGCATGTTTCGTTTCGTTGTAAAAGCCGATTGTAGTTTTATTACGCACGTATACGGTCCATGGAAATGGAGTACTTTCACACTGTGCAGAAATTGGCAAAGAAATTGATATACCTGCACCAGAGCCAGTGGAATGGTCTCGCTGCAGTATTTGCATGAAACCTGTCTGAAGTTGCACTCCTTTTCCAAGTGTTCTGCCAGCTGGTGTCGTGGGGAGAGGACATCGCAGCCTTGGTCTTTGTGTACACATTCCACTCGGGTGTAGGCACACTCCTGCAGGTGAGACTTTGGGAAAAACAGAGGTGGATCAGAAGGATCCGTAAGGGGAGGTACAACTTACTAAAGTCGGTCAATTAATTCTACATTTACGCAGACACCATTTTTTTACCAAAAGGTCTATCACCAATTTACCTTCTGGTAAAAAAATGGGCTGGCCCCCCCTGTAACCCATTTTTTTTACCAAAAGGTCTATAAGCAACTTACCTATTGGTAAAAAAAATGTGCTAGCACCCCCTTTAACCCATTTTTTTTACCAAAAGGTCTATCACCCATTTACCTACTGGTAAAAAAATGTGCTAAAGGCCGGTTCAATTCACTGTATGGTTAACGTCACTCGTGGGGTCGTGTGGCGCAGTCGGTAGCGCGTTCGGCTCACCCAAGAGGTCCCGGGTTCGAATCCTACCCGTGTCACCGATCTTGTGCCCTTGGGAAAAGCACTTTACACGACTTTCCTCACTTCACTGGAAATGAGTACCTAGCTTCGGTTAGGGACGTCCCTCGGATAGGACGTTACATGGAGGTCCCGTGTTTGGGGAGAGCCACACCCCACGCACGATCCCACCGCACTTATCGAAAAGAGTAGGGGACCCTCCCGCTGTGAGTGGTACCTACATGGTGTGTCACGCCTAAAGCCGGTTTACCAGTTATGCGAAACAAACAAACAAACGGCAGGGATTGCGTGTGTGCTTGTGGTAGCCTAGTTTTGTGGTCATCGATAAAAAAAAAGAACGGAGAACTCTATCCTATGAGATTTAAAGTTTTAGTTCTGGCACGCCTCTAAGAAAATATATACACACGGAAGGGAGCATTGAAAGTGTCTCTTGCTGTCGTCAGACTGGATGATCTCATGAGCAGTGGATACTCCCACAATTACATGATTGTCAACATGTGTATCGATCAGTTTCCCCCACTGACTGTGATAGTTCCCTTTATTAGCTTTTGCCCTCGAAATTCTGTATGTGTGTATGTGTGTATGTGTGTGGGTGTGTTTGTGTGTGTAGCTAGCATATCCGGCGTTCTGTAGTACTAGTAATAGAGAAGTTTGATAATTCTGGGGAATACTACTGTGGAGGTCGCTCGGTGACAGGTAGCCTGGGTCCCACACATGGAGATACTTTGTGTCCAGTGTGCTATGGGTTTGGCACTAGGTGACAGGAAGTAAGGAATCGATTTTACGGTACATACTTTCACTGACTGATAAGGCAAGGCAGAAATCAGTGTGCCTTTGTCTTGTGAATGGACAGATGTGGTACACCTAAAACCCGCGTGAGAATCATCAAAGTATATTGTAGACTCATAGAAATATTAGCGGTTCATGTAAGCCGGGAGGACGCGGGGTCATTACCTGCTCATCTTTTCTTTTTACCTTTTATCAGGAACTCTGGGAAACCTAAGGAATAGATTTGACGGATGAAAAAAAAACACCTGCTGACCTACTTTAGACTTCAAGCAGATGCAGGTTTTTGTATTCACACAGCAGACTTACGGTTTCTTGTTTGAGAATGGAGTGAAAAATGTCCTTCTGACTTATATGTCTGTCTGACGGGTCCAGTCCAGACATTTTTTTACCAGAAGGTAAATTGGTGATAGACCTTTTGGTAAAAAAATGGGTTCTGTTACGTAATCTGTATCTGTATCTGTATCTGTATAGCCGGTATAACCGCCTTTCGGCGTAACACACCAGCTTCGCAGGCACGCGGCGCGGCGGCAGCTGGTTATATTACACCGATCCACTTGTTACACCTAACCCTTGAACTTCTAGCTCTAGACATTGTTTAAAGCTATCCATTGACAATGCCCCTACTGTACTTGGTGACAGTGAGTTCCACTCTGCGATAGTTCTAGGAAAGAATGAATTCTTGAACACCTCGATCCTTGGTTGATAACTCTGGTACTTGAATGCGTGGCTATTTCTTGTTCTCTTCTGGGCTGGTATTAGGTACTTAGTAGTTGGGACATCCACCAGTTTATTAGTCATTTTGTACATCATGCATAGTCTAGACATCTTTCTTCTGTCTTCCAGGGAGGTCCACTGTAGGTTTCTTTTCATTTCCGTGACACTAGCACCTCTTACATAGTTGTTCATACAGAATCTTGCAGCTTGATTCTGTACCCTTTCCAATTTGTTAGAGGGGGTGCTGGCACATTTTTTTACCAGAAGGTAAATAGGTGATAGGCCTTTTGGTAAAAAAAAATGAGTTAAAGGGGGTGCTAGCACATTTTTTTTACCAATAGGTAAGTTGCTGATAGACCTTTTGGTAAAAAAATGGGTTAGAACTTAGAGGGGGTGCTGGCACATTTTTTTTACCAGAAGGTAAATATGTGATTGACCTTTTGGTAAAAAAAATGGGTTAAAGGGGGTGCTAGCACATTTTTTTACCAATAGGTAAGTTGCTGATAGACCTTTTGGTAAAAATGGGTTAGAGGGGGTGCTGGCACATTTTTTTACCAGAAGGTAAATATGTGATAGACCTTTTGGTAAAAAAATGGGTTAGAGGGGGTGCTAGCACATTTTTTTACCAATAGGTAACTTGCTGATAGACCTTTTGGTAAAAAAATGGGTTAAAGGGGGTGCTAGCACATTTTTTTACCAGAACTCTATTACATATTAGCACTATGTCCTAAAAAAATTAACTAATGTACAAAAATACAATTAACACAACTTTTTTGGCTTAACGCGTTTTTCACCCACAAATAAAAATACGTACTAAATAAACGTACTAAATAATCAAGTCTAGACATTCTGACAAGTAAATGAAAAGAGAAATACCTCTAGTTCTTTTCGCGGTAGTTGCTCCTTACACCCAACCTCTTTGTTGGGACAGTAAACGACAAGCTGGAGAATCTCTTTCTCGGCACACCGGTCTCGGAACACCTGAACAAAAGGGTGAGATACATTTTCAGAACTGAGGCTTTACATTACATATTCCCTAGATAGTATCCAATATGCGTTTTAAAAATCTTACCATTGTGAAGAAGGTGAAAAATATGCATACCATTCCTTATAATTACTCCACATTTATTAGGTCATTTAAGGCCCGTCCTATACTGTTTCATGTACTTTTGAAAATTCGTAACGTTATACTTACTTCGTCTGCTGAAAGAACTTCTTGATCAATGGGACAGTGCGCAGTACCTTTCCTGTAACAACATTGACGTGGTCAGGCTATTAGACAAACATTTTGTCAGACACAGTCCAGACCAACACACAGGTCGTGTTTGGTGTGAAAATCACAAGGCATTTCGTAACTTCTCTGGTTCCCTCATAATCTCTCACATGTTTTCGTCTCAGTCGTTCAACTGTCAAATGTCAAATGTTACCGGTAATTATAGGACATATCAGGTGTCCAAACTTCTCACCTGAATGCTTGCTGTAAACACCTGTCGCAGAAACGGTGCCCGCAAGACGTCTGCCGAGGCGCGTCTAAGACGTTGTTACAAATTGGGCACTTGTAGCGATCTTCCAGTGGAAAGACGTACTGTAGTTTTGTATACATGACGTGGACTTGTATCGTCCTCGTTTCCTTCTGTGGGTGGCAAAAAATGACAAAGGGTCATATTCGTAATATAAAGATCGTCAGAGATGGAGGGCTGCGCCCTAGTACAAGTGCAGTGTGATATTTCAGTAATAGTCTACACGAACTAGAGCATTAACCCCTTCTCACTGTATCTGGCGTTATATGCCAGTTTGATCCCCGAGCACCGCCCACTTCGACCTGTGACCTTGACGGCCGGAAATGACAGTCTATGTGACGTTACGTTTGCTCATACTGTAGGTCTACCTGCCTACACCTAACTGTTATATTCAAGACTGCTGACTACTAGAATACACAATGTAAAGCGTAAAAGGGTAAAAGATATAAGTATCATAAGTGTATAAGGATCATAAAGTAATCTACTCACCTTCCACAAACTGACGCGACGCCTCTAGGGGATTGTATTTGAACTTAACGTAAACGCTAAAAATAGCGCACCGGTAAGCCCATTGTCACGTGACAGCCAGGGTGCGGCACTCCACCAATGGTGTACCGCCTATGCCGCGGGTGGCTTTCTTGAACAATCTAGGGTTTTCCCGTGACCAGTTACTAAGTAGTTGGATATGGCCTTGATTATGGCCCCATTGATGAGACTTTTCCACCACGTGCATGTTTGCACGAACAAACATTTTACATTTTTACAGTAGTACACGTTCGCTTGGAGATTCCTTTGTAGTGCCACATGATGGTGCATTGTATGAAGCATGGAGTTAAAATATCTGTATGTATCAAGATCATGATAACGTCAATATCGCTTATTGTTTATTGTATGATTGTATGATTGTACGTGTGTGTGGCCGCGGATGCAAAAAGAAAGAAAATCATGTTCCACGGAATGCGTATGTCAAAATGAATCAACCTACAGCGAGGGCGATCATAGAAACTATTAAATAAATTTCTATTGAATAATTTTAATGTACTAGTATGTACTAGCCAGGCATGGATTATGTGGTTTGAGATTTGGGACGTTCGGAAGGCCGTCTCAGGAGTCACGAGGAGCTTATTTGGGAGTCAGATGATGTGAACTTTATGAAGTTTTGTGATGATACTCGTAGTCTAGATCTTTCTACCGCTCGGAATTATCTGTGTGCATGTTGGTTGCTCGCACGGGGCAAACCTAATGACAAACGTTAGGCGTTTGTATGATACACAAGAAGAAACGACAAATTTCAGAGACAATTGCAATTGAGTATATATTCTCAATAGCATATAACATATACATTGTCATTGCCAGTGTCAAATGCCACATTGTTGTTAATAATATATACTGATGATGGTATGAACATTTGTCAATAATACTGATGATGGTATCTGTAGCACCGTAAAAATTAGTTTGTTTTTTACCTGTCTATACGTAAGCTGCCTAGACTTAGTTATTGTCAGTGGAATACACAACAGAACGTATTTACATATATGACATTGCAGTTTGCCCAAACTGGCTTGTATTGTATTCATTCTTCATGGCATAAGCTCACTCAGGGGCATAAATGAATAAATAAATAAATAAATAAATAAATAAAATGCTTATTAATTGCATAGTTACAAAGTATCCATATATATTCTAATACAAACTCGATCAGTGCATACCAGAATATGTATCATATTACATCATTTGAAAGTATTGAACTATGGTCAACAAATCATACAAATAGCAGCATAACCATGTACAAAACATGTATCTTTACACACTAGCAGCTTGCATAACATTCCTGCGGAAATCTTCTGTTGGGTCAATAGAACTTCACGCCAGTAGCCTAATACAAGATTGTAGTTTTTATTTTACTTACTTCCTTCAATCAGCTTATTACATTTCTACCATTTCACCCTTCTCTTCTCACTGTTTTTTTTTTGCGTCCAGAATTCAAACGTCACGAGTAGGAAGATGTTAAAAAACACGGGTATGTGTCTATGACAAAAATCTGTAAAATAAAAGTACTATAAAAGAGTGTGTGTTCTGTTTGCACAAACTTGCTTTTCTTTTATTTGTTCCTCATGGCATCAAATGGTCAGTACACATTTGAATGTTGTATCCTCCTTCTTACCCAGGCACCTCTGTGCACAGGATAACAGCCATATCTTCAGTTACTGTTGAACATTAACGGTTACCGGTACAGGTAGAATACTCGGGCCGGAATTGCTGCACTGACTGTTTTACAGACTGGTGGTCGTGACATACTTAGAGATGTTATAGTAGCCTAAGGCTAAGCTGAAAACTTGCCTTTTTGGCATTGCCATTGGTTGTCTAACCTCTATGTATAGCCTACCGGTTGATGCATGACCAGTAATTGCGAGGCACTAGTAATTAGCTTATGGCCCAACCAGGTCTGATGTCTCAACAATAACTTTGATAAAAATTGTGTCGTCTTTAAGATAAGGGCTGCCCTCCACCACAGCCTGAGACACAAACAGCGGGCAGCCTGACGCGATGTTCATGTCGCTCGTGGGGCGCTTGAAACTGCTGCTGGTCGGATCAGGCCGGAACGTGTCGGACAGGTGGCGCCTGCCCTGATCCTGATCCAGCAGCATCAATGTTACCTTCTGTCTGAAGGGCCAGGGCAGAAGGGCATCATAGTCTCCCCGCATGATTACAAAGAACAGGGACATGTGGGTACCCTTCCCCATGCCATCCCCGTTCAGATACACCCTAGCACACATCTTATAACCATTTCTACTGGTGTAAAAAGGCTGGCTGTAGAGAGACAGAGTTCTACCAGTCACAGCGTCGTGCTTCCTTCTGGTGTAGTCTTTGATCTTCCAGAGCAGGGTGCCGTCAAAGCTGGCTGTCTCCAGGATCTGGAAGCGGAGGTCCATCTCAGCCAGTCGAACATCGTGGATGCCGAGTTGCCTGTCTTGGGCTGCGAGCTGTGTTTCCACTTCACCTGTGAAGACATCAGAACCACTTTACATTACAAACCTTCAAAAGACGAAACTCTGCAGAACACCACTATGAAATATCAAATAACTATGTTTATTTGTTTGCTTTGGTACGAATTCTGTAGAATTCTTACTAAATTCTTAAATCTACCCTCCAACCACAGAGAAAATAAAATATCAAACATTTCTTACTAACACATACCTGTTGCACCTGATAACAGCCCCCCTCCTCCTGATCCCCTGGTCTCCAACTTTGCCAGTCTGTTCTCGGTTCTTTTTACTGTCTCTTTCACCGCCACCAGGTCCCTCTTTTGACCATCTACATCTTCCTTCTTTGCAGTTGTCCCCAGATCGTGCTCAAACTTCATAAGTTTGTCTGTTTGGTTGGCTACCATTTTCTGTAAGAGACAAATACTAACGTTAGTATATAGTCTGAAAAACTATGCATATTTACAGACGCATGTGTACTAGGTACAAAAATGTACTTTACTTAATACTTATTCCACTTCACACAGGTATTAATGTACAAGAAGTTCAATTTGCATTACCTGCAGTGATGCAATTTTCCCATCCTGCTTTTCAGCTTTCTGTCTGAGTGATGAGATCTCGTTAGCTTGTTGTGTGACTGTGTTCTTTAGGAGGTCTCTCTGGTTAGATACTTCCTGCAGCTCTCTACGTGATTCAGACAGACTGAGTTCCATGTTGGCCAGGTTGGCGGTCATCATGAGTAGGTGCTCTGCCATGGACAGTGATTCATGTTCACTGACATGACTTCTAGGGCCCTGATAAAAAATAATTATATTTAATTACACATGCAACATACAGTATATATATAGAGGGCTTAATGTATAACAGATACTGTGAAGAAATTGAACAAAGCTAATAGTTAAGGTAGTGTTGACAACTTTTGCAGTAAGCACTGTGTTTACTAATGCACACACCATTTGGACAATATATTTCTATGATTTTTACACTGATTCCTAATTTATAGTTCATGAAGATGCAATGTTACCTTAAATGCACACCCATATGAGTTGTACCGACAGTTGACTTCTGACTGGGGGCATTCATCTTGGAGGTGCTTTTCTACCTGTAAAAGATGTAAAAGGGGTAAAATACAGAGCAGTGAAGAAATTGTTCAGTGAAACACAATTCTGATTTAAGGTGAAAAAATTACCGTACATTTGTTGCCGTGACTTGACAGACATGTTTCTGACCTGTTCTCGTGTCACTCCTGTCAATTCGCAGCCATTTGGACAGGTGCTTGGGGCCTTAGGGCACTGCTTTGTGTGATCCTGGAGAAGAGAACACAGCATGATCAGTGTGATCAAGAATATAACAGTATGATCAAAACATACAAGCAACCTACACATTCTCAATGACAGACATTGAACAAAACCTTTCCATGTACATGTATCAACTAAAATCACATTAGCTCTGTTTGAAGTCATAGTCAGATAGAGGACTCTTATAAAACAGTTGAAATGATTTCAACATACTGGTACAAAAAAGCATATCCTCACCTCTGTCTGTGCCAGAGGTATCAACTCCTGACAGAACCTGCACGGCTGTTGTCTGAACTGACATTCCTTCTCCAGATGTTCTGCAAGGTGACACCTTACAACCTGTTCCTCGCAGCCAAGAGACTTGTAAATACATTCTATTGTTGCATACTTGCATTCCTCTAGATGGGCCTGTTGTGAATGAACATAAAATGGCTTTAGACAACTTTCTAGTCATAAGCCTATGACAAAACAGAGGATCAGTAAAAAGTTTCATTGGATGATTTCCAAAACCTTCTCGTTGACTGTGACCTTAAATTCTCCAAATTAACGTTTTATTGAGGTGATTGTAGAATACTTTATAATTGGCCACATGTGACTCTTTTTATCAAATAGTAAAGTGTTTAACTTTATGAGATCCATGAGACAAGGTACCTGGAGTTCCTTGAGTGGTACTTGCACTTCACAACCAGCTTTCTTATTAACACAATTGACAATGAGTTGTTGTATTTCTCTTTCTGCACACCTGTCTGGAAACACCTGTAAGATCAAAGGAAAGTCAAGAACTCAAGCAGACAGCTCATTTATCAACCACTGGTAATGTTAGACAGTCTATTGTGAAATGTCGTCAAATTGTTTCTATAAAGTCTGTACTTACCTGTGTTGATGAGAGAACTTGCTGGTCTATTGGACACTTTGGTGCTCCTTTCCTGTGGTTGGCAGACAAAAACAATGAATGACCCTACCTGAAGATATGGTCTACACTAAATCTTGCTCTCTTGGGATCAAGTACTATAACGTTACAGAGTTGCCTTTCTTGAACCTTCACCTTTTAGGGCTACCGGCCCTTGGGCTGTAGTCAGGGCTAAATTGTTTGAACGGCGGGAACAATTTGTTCTAGAAGGTTCGTGGACTTCAAGAATATCCATAGTCATTGTGACTTGTACTACATTGTACTTGGTAAATAATTGGGCAACACTCGTACCAAGGCGTGCCGCACGCCATTCATGACAAGGTTACAGGGGTTCATACAGAACAATAGCTATAGCAGACGTCACTGCTCAGTTCAGCTAGTGAGTCTACTTCCGTGACTGTTTCGCACCGTGATTTTTCCACGAATTACAAGTTATCGCTTACATTATCTATTATAACGTTGTACCTTGCATAGAGTAACAACCCTTATCTGGCGTGCTCGACTCGGAACCAAGAGGCCCTGGGTTCGAGTCCCGACATGTCACCGATCTTGTGCCCTTTACACGACTTTCCTCACTACGCTCAGGTGTAAATGAGAATTGTCCTGTCATGTATTTGTACCGTGTTGGTGGCGGCATTAATATAAGTTGAACAAGAGTTCCACGATCTCATACCTTCGCCAAATGATGTTAACCCTTACGGTTGACGAAATATACAATTGTAATCATTGATTTTGTAAATAAGAGCCTAATTTGCATGGATTATATCAGTTGATCCTATTCTCCACCCAATGACAGCCTTATCATAACAAAAAGGCTATTGTAGCACTTCCTCATAAATTATGCAAATGAGGTCATGATTTGAATAAATTATGTTTATCGATGTCCACCTTCACTTAACTTCCAAATGTGGCAAGTATGAAATTCGGGGTGCAGCAGTCACAACTATGAAATAATAAAAAAATTTCCATTAATTATGCAAATTAGGTCCTCAATTACATTATCTATATCCTCAGATGTTTTTCTTGTTCTCAAGTAGATGTCTTAAGTAAGTAGCAAGTGTTTCATAGTTCTACTATCGAACAAAGCAGATTTATAGAATTCCCTCATTAATTATGCAAATTAGCTCCTGATTTCCATAATTGCCATCTGATTATGTCAAGCATCACTTCAACTACTTACATACCAAAAATCACGACAATACGTCAACCGGTTCTTGAGTTATCGTCCTTCAAATTTTTTTCAACAAATGCTCCTGCAGTTCCAGAACAAGGCGCTAGGGGACCCAAACTCATGTCACTTCTTCCCTACCCCAAGAGCTATCTACCAACCAAAATTCGTGACCCTAGCATGTCTAGATCACGAAATATCAAAACCGGAAGTTCTGCTGCAGTACCTAGGAAAGCCGCCAGGGGGCCCAAACTCTAATCATTTCTAGGTCTCATGAAGACCTACCCACCTACCAAGTTTCATTCCAATCCATGAACTGCTTCTCGAGTTATCTTGCTAAACCACACACACACACACACACACACACACACACACACACACACACATACATACCCACAGACAAACGCTACTGAAAACATAACCTTCTTGGCGAAGGTAAAAAAACTTGGGTGTGCCGTCACCACGTCTGGTGATTACATGTTGGAATTTAAAAAAACTTATCTACATACTTACCGCAGTTCTTCAGTCAGACAACTTTCACAGAAGCGATGGCCACATTCAACCGACTGGCGGGGTTTCCGCAGATGTCGGCCACACAGCGGGCACTTGTACCTGTCCTCCAAGGGAAAGGCGAATTGGACGTCAGACTCTTCGTACATAACAACGTAGATATAGAAATGTGCTGCTGCGATGTATTACATGAAGCACCAAAACCCGTGCCACACACGTAAAGACCCTTATATAGCATGGTGCGCCGAGACGATGACTCATAGTACTTCCGGCCTCGTAATGGAAACCACCTACTACTACTAGTATTTACATAATGACACGCCTATTGTTGACCGAGTATGACCAGTCTGAAGATCTCTGAACTGAAAACCTCAGGGGGCGATCTATCACCTATGGTGCCGATCTGTAAATTCACCTAATCTACTGTCGTCACATCGTACACAATTTACCGCCGTTTTGTTGCCACAAATCTATAATATTCTTATATTCGTACGTGAACAAGGGGCTAGTTTTGGGCATGCGCAGCGTGTTGGTGGTTCCCCAGTGATGTCAGGTTCGTGATGTCATACCGGTGATTTCCGCCTACGCAGGAAAATCCGCTGCGTCAAACATGTCAAAAACCGGACAATGACCTTTTACTGTCTATCATGCAATTTGTAAAGCCTAGTTTTCTTTTTTAAACACAGATACCTGATTTCTTGAGTCTTCTTGTCACTAGCAGTAGCCCAGGTTTAACAAAGTTTCCATCCATATTCTAACAGTAACACACTCACTCAATTAAACTACCCTGCTCCAATCCAACACGAGATACATTCCTGTTGATCAGACAAAACCTGCATTCCACATATAACTCACGTTTAACAAATGATTATATTACCTGTTATATGAGCATATTTCAATTGCTTTTGTCATCTTCACTCCTTGACCTTTCCAATTGTGAATGACACTTTAAAAGTGGCTTTATGCAGAATTCTAACATACCAAGTACATGTACAAAAACCAAATTGTCAGCAGTGTGGTGGTATTTCAAAGGGTCAAATCATTACACACCCTTAGGTGTGAGAAGTCCATGCATGTACATGTACTGGCATGAAATACTAGTGTTTACGACTTAAGTCACATGGGGAATTTTCTGACATGAGTGTTGGACTTTGATAAGTATACATTCTCAAATGGCACAGAACAAACATATTCCTAAGCATTTGTTTTCCTGCATTCTGAGACAAGTTACCTGATGCAATGACATCAACAGGAAGTTTGTCATCAACAGTTCTCTTTGATAGGACAAACAGAAATAAATGCTGACCTGAGCAGGACATGCAGAAAACATGTTTACCCATAACTTGTCAAATTATTCCGACTTTAATTTGAAATTACGTTCCTATTATCAATTCAAATGATCATAAATCTTGTCCTTGCCAGCTTTGTTTCAATAAAATGATACAATATATGTCTACACTAATCCAACCAGGCTGAGGTATAGACACCAAAGAATCATCAAGACATCACAGAAAATATTGACATTTCTTGGCATTCCTTGCTGTTACAGTAGAATAGCAGGCCACAAGTCCAGCACATGTAGCTCCTGCATACATATTTTCAAAACATAACATCAAAAAGATGGCTTTAAAACAATTCTGGACTTATGGGTTTGATGTTGTTGTTGTTTTTGTTCCTAATACATTACATTGCCCGAGTTCCCTTGAAGGTTGGGCTCCACAGCAGAACTATTACAGATCTGTGACAGCTGTGTTTTCATGTGTGTCTTGAATTCATGTAATGAAATGTGCCCTAAATTTGCCGTATTTGGGAACAATCTCTAATTCTATATTCTAAAAGATCAATGGTGCCATGTACTCAACTAATGCTCTACTAATGGCTATACTTGTATAAAGTATAATGCTATACTTTATGTCATCTTTATGTTTACATTTATATTATGTTTTATGAGCAGCGGATTTACATAAGCACAACAAGTGCTTCCTATCCAATGCTCAAAAATCCATGTGAATAAATAAAAAAAAAAAAAAAAAATAATGGCTATTTGGTTTCTGATCCCCTAACAATGTTGTGTGACATTTTTAAAATCTAAAACTGCAACTGGCCAAATAGGGTATAATAGCAAATTTAGGGCATATTGTGTTCCACATCTGTCCCAGTCCTGTAAGAGTGGTGCTGTGGTTCACTACTGTTATTCTATGTCCTCTGGTCGGACAGGATGGGGTAAGGGTATGATGGACTTCTTCTTCACATCTGCAGACAGGGCCTTCCTCATGTCTGAAACATAGGCAGAAAATAATCACATCACATGGTGAAAGTGAAATCCAACGATTATAACTATAAACATTTTGTGGCAAGAGTGTAGCCAACATAGCTGCAAAGAAACTTTTGAGATAAAATTCAACAACATTGAATGAAGAAACAATTAAGATAAAAACTAAGAAAAGATTACTAGTACTTTTATAAGCATGGGTCCAGTATTATTTTCAGTTATTTTCAGTTCATTTAAATCAACTCTTCCTATACATTTTCCGAACCGTTAGCAACTCTACAGTGCACTGTACAAGCTGATGATCTCACCGTAAGCATCCTCATCAGGGTCTCCTGAGTAGTACTCCAGTACTGTCCTGTAGATGCTGTACCCCAGCTTCTTGTACATGTCCACTGCAACCTTGTTGGACACTCGCACAAACAGGTCCACAAAGTAACAGTTTTTGCTGAAGTCAAAAGGGAATGAGTAGCATGTTAGAATCTCAACAAGAACAGTTACAGTATGAGAATGCAAGGGTAAATACGAGTGAAAGGACCAAAAAGGAGCCAAAATAACTTGAAATGAAGCAGTACATTGATCGATCATTTTATTTGATGAGGAAATATGAATACAAGAATTCTTTCTCTACCATCATACCTAAGGTGTTCACGTCAGCCTTCACAGTCAGTATCACATAAATACTGGTTATACATGTACATGTACTAGTATCTACCATCCAGAGCACTGCACCCATGACCATACAAGGCCTTACTTTTCTGAAATCTGCTCTAAGCTTGCCATCATCTTGGCGGCCAGCCCCAGCCTCCTGAACTCCGGAGCTACAGTCAGCGCTGTGACATGTCCGTGCCACTCCTCCTGGGCCACACGGCCTTCTGCCTTCCCCATGACTGGGTATCAAAATAAAAGTTACCGTTCAACACATCACTCACTCATGTTGTTATCGACTTGAGTAACAGGAAGATCAAAATGTATGTGTTTCTGGTGATTCCTTCTGGTAATGTAACAAGCTAGTTAAATATCATTATTGCAACAGTAAGTCACAAGACCGCAAGGCAAAAATAAAAGTCCCTTCTATTAATACTAAAACTTATGTTACTCACTGGACAGTGCACCAATGCCCTGTCACTACTATTGATGACAGAAGGAGGGTATATAACTTCCTTGATGACAGGGAAAACTAGAGCAGAAGCTACAGAGGAAAGCCCATCCTGCATGTGGTACATGTAGTACTACGTGTAGTAGTAAAATGTTAAGGTCTCAGAAGAGCCTTACTAGTAGTATGTCTGTTGGGTTAGCTGAGAGTCTAAGCCTGACTACACCTCTGAACCCTGATGTACTTACTGTATCCCATGATATCCCCTGTGGGTGACTCGGCCACCTGGAAATACTCGGGCCATCTGGCCAGGTACTGCATGTAAAACGGCAGGCCATACTGGGGCAGTCAAGGTACAGATACTGCTAGTGTTGACCAGGCTACTAATACAGAAACTCTACCTAAAGGCTAGTCAGTAAACTTAGGACATAACCTGATAACATTGTCATACCTGATCTGGTTCTGGTTTGATACTGGGTAACACCCCTTCGGTTGGGGCAAGCAACCAGTGAGTGGTAATGTTACAACAATTACAGCCGGTTCCTCAGGTGTTGGGAGTCCTCCTCCTCTTATTACAAATTATAAAGGCTTTTGCTTTTGACATGACGGGACTTTAATACTTAATTTCATATGTGTAAAAATGAATCAAATTCAGTGGCAGTAGTAACTGTTACATGTAACGGTTAAAGTATTGAGCACTATCAAAAGATACAGTTTCAGTAAGAGGGTCCAGATTCCTGAGGAAGAAAAGAACATTGATATTAAAGTTACCGGTAACATGTAATCTAATATATTATCTATTTGTTTGTAAAGTTGGACGTTGAAAGCAACATATGTTACATCGTACTTAATAAAATACACTATAATAAATTAGATAGCACCTCCAGAGTGTTATTTTTACCTAAAATTTTAGATGACTGGGTCACCATATTAAAGTACAGATAGGTAAAGAACCGTGAATGTTGTTTTGTGCTACTGAGTGTATGGCTTCATTATGTATCGCAGCTTATGTATCTACTATATTGTCCATTTCGGTAACGTTACTTCTAAAAAGTCATAAATTTCGACGTGATGCTATGTCTTATGGGAACAGTTATGCCCCCCTCCCCCTTACACATCATGATATGGGACTTACACGCGATTGAAGCGGAACAAGTCGTCACATGTGAACGGCCTCAGCGTTGTCATTGTCAACTGGTTATTAGATTGCAGATACCACCATAAGTTTGACCATAACAAGAGTTATCATGTGGTAAATCCGAACAAACTGCACACACAAAACATAACATGCACAATGGCTCCCTATGAGACCCTTTGACCCGGAACCGGAAATACGTTGAAAGTTCTGGAAAAAATCCGAACAGGTGTGCCAGGGGATTTCCGTCCCGCGAAATAGAACTGGAATTTTCCAGTTTTGTGTGACACGGGTTAAAGAACAAACAGCCTGTGATTTCTGGATATTGGCATTTAAATGTGACGAAATGGTAGCATAAGGGGCTTGCACTAACTTTTGTGTATTCGCATGAATGTGGACTTGTAATGTCCTTGTATTGTAAGAAGGAAGGAAGAATGGATAAACCCTCTTGTGTTAACACTAACGGGCCCCCGTTAACGTTGTAATCAACAACGAACATAACGTTACCTGACACTGTCCTTTTTTTTTACCAAATCATTTTCTGCTCAGTTACCAACAATTGAGGGTACATTCACATCAATAACATTAACTGTAACGTTACATATTTATATTCATTGTCGATATTTGTGTAACGTTAACACAAGTAAAAAGTCCACGTCGAATAGTAGACAGCAACGTTCCTTGCCGATCTCCCCTAACAATTTTTATAATGTCCGAAGTCTGAAGGTGCATGCGAGTCACGATTCCATTACTCACAGGGGAATACCATTGATAGACATAACGAAGTTCACAGCCTCACCCTGGTCGTTACGTGGGGGTCAACGTACGACGGGTGACGTGTCCTGTCCTGATAGAACCGTCTGGAAAGTTAACAACATATCTTGTTATACACTAAATGGCCTTCGGGAAAAACTAACTCCGGTTTACTCCACTAGCCTCTCTTCGCGGTTTGTCAAAGTTCCTTGTACTATTTTGGCAGTGTTCAATTAAAATTCAACCCACTGACACTCCTTATCAGGACCTTCTCTGCATTTTTAGGATACCGTTTTTCAGATAAACCTCACTCTTACACCTTTATGGTGGATAGATTAACCCCCATGCTAAATGGAATCGACATGTAACACCGCGGGTAACTAGATGACGTAACGCGCAGCAGAACTTTAGTCATTTCGTCTCAGGTCTCCCAGCGTGCGGTGGTCAGGACTCAGAGCAGGTACAGTAACTCAACTTTGCGTCCCTGGACATGTCTGATCTTGTCCATACCAAATGACATACCACCAGCATATAAACAGGGGTATCTTCAAAAGTGCTCTTGTTACATAGTATTGTACTTTAATGACGTAAACTTGCGGAGAAGTATTCTTATTTCGAGCGAATAGCCGCCCCACTTGTAATCGTCGCACTTCCGCCAACTTCCGGGGTGATGTCCATCCAGTCAATCCTGGTATGTTTGTTCGAAACATTAACATGTAAGTGAAGTGGTTGAAGTTCGCTTTTTGGTGTCTCTTCAAATTGGTTAATATTGTATTTCCCATGCCTCCTACTTTTGATTTGCCTTTATGGACCTTCGACTGGGTAGTGAAAGAATGCGTAACGTTATATTCTGTGGCTACTAGTAACTGCGGGGAATCCCCACCCAGTGGAAAGTCCCGCACAGTGCGTTACCGCTAGCCTGGACTGTAAAATCAAAATCCGAACGGGGCCCAGGCTACGTTACCATTAGAAAGCTGACCGTTTCCATAATCTCCAAGCGGATCCTACGGTGGCAAGGCAAGTATCCAATCGGTCAAGCAGTGCCCTTAGCAGCAGGGTTGCTATTAAATTGTGTCTGTATGGACTGGGGGCGAAGGCTAAACCATGCTAAAAGGGACACAAACTGTAACTGACTGTGCTATGGTTTGCTTTACAGGTTGTTGATTTGCAGGACTTCTGGTCGAAACAGTGTTGACTGATCATGTCGATAAAGAGCAAAGTGGGGACGGCGGCAGCCATCATGGCCATGGTTTTTGTACTTGTCTACGCTGAAGGTTCGCATGCATACATTAAAATACTAGTATGTGCTTCATGTGCAAGGTTACGTATATGGTGATCGCTTTGAAAAGGATCGTTTAACAACTCTACATTCTCTTTTATAAAGTACAAAGTTGTAAGTACCTATAATTTTGCATCTAAAATACAACACAGCTCATAAAATGGATGCATCAAAGACTCCGCACTTAGACATTGCAGATTTTCTAACTCTATCTGTATGATATTCCTTGAAACACTATACGAGTTTTACTCTTTGAAAAATATATGTGCCAGGTCGGTCCTTAGATCATACCTTCTGCTCCCGTAGATGCACCCGCTGAATTAGATTTGGCCTCGACAGCATGTGCCGAGGGTGAAGTACCTGACGGACTAGGACATTGCGTTGCATGTGATACATGCAGGTTGTATCCGGACTCGCCATACTGCACACTCTGCGGTGAGTTCCACTTCATGATCTAGTCAACAGTTAAGTATAGCAAGGAGGTTAAAAAGAGACTCTTTTTAACCTCCTTGAGTATAGGTATGAAGACAACGTTTATTAAACTATTACTGTCTTTTTATTCGTCGTATCTGCTATGCTTGGGTGCAGTCAGTTACATTTTTCAGATTGGAACTTCTAAGATAATTTTTGTACTGATACATTTTCACCTGAAATGTTGAATCATATTTCAGGTAACCCAGGAAAAGTTACCAAGACGCCTGGTAAGCGATCGTTATCCACATTTTATGTGAATGTGTCATGGTTATCACAATAAGAAAGTTAATGGATTGGCGAACAACGGAACAAGTCTTAAATTAATAACAGGACCATACTTCTACACCGGGTCAAAGGAACCGTTGTCTAAAAAACAAACAAAATTCTGTGGCTGGCTATTGCCTTATAAGGTAAAAAAAGTTGAACAAAAGCAGTGTTTACTTTGTATGACATAAGTCATTACTTGCTGGGGATTCCCCCTTTGCCTACTACAAAGTACATAACTTAGGTGTATGTTTGTCTGCGGGCGTGTGCCCATAGATATTTGAATGCATGCAGTAGAGCAATAAGTTGGGGTGTGTGATCTGATTGCCGCAGAGACCGAAGATTGACTTTATGGTCAAGTTGGCAGGCTGGGAGGAAGTGAGTCTACCCAAACAGTTACTAGGGGTATTCTTACCCAGGGCAAGTCAGACAAAGCTCTCAGCCTGCAAGGTTCCAGCTAGGGCCGTTGTAAGCCAGACCGTCTCTTTGGATGTGCCAATTAATTCAGCAAAAAGGCCTATATACTGCCCGAAGATTTGAAATCTCCGATTTCTTGTGCCGGTGCAATACCATGATAAACTTATTCTTTACATACTGATCCACAATCAATGACATATTTTTTAGACCAATGGAAGGTCGGAGTGGGTATTGGGGTGCCTGCCCTGGTGATTTTTGCCACGCTGGCGGTGCTGCTGTACAGGCTGTGGTACAAGAGGCGCCAGGATGAGGAAAAGCAGATGGGCCAAGGTAACAGAACAATAGTTGTTTCGACAAGCTTGTTGATAGAGTCACAAGTATAGGTACATGAATCAACATTACAGGCTATCTAATTGTGCAGGACTGCAAATAGCAGTAAGTAATGAAAGCAAATTCTTTTTATGAAATGGAAGATGTCTGTGTTTTACCAGAAAGGTAACCAAAGTAGCTAACAAATCTGATATTGTAGGGAACCAAGGTGGCGCTGTGCAGATGCCAGTTGCTCCCCAGATCCAAGACAACCAAGTAAGAATCCAACTAGACGGACAGGCCAGGAGGCCCCAAGGACCTCAAGTCACCATCCGAGCCGAGCAGGAGACCGGTGAGGAAAGTGCTGGATTCGAACCCTCGATCCCAATACAGGTGTGTTTCTGTCTATTACCAGAACATACACAAGTTGGTCCGAAGTTACACCTGTACCCAAACCTATTTGCTCTTTGCACTCAATCTGGATCACAGTAACTAAATCACTATGCATACACGCATGGCAGCTTGTTTATACACGTTAACGTTTGCTGAATTGTGACGGGCCTGACATGTGTCTTACCGTACTACCTAGGCGGAGGATGCTGCTGCTGGAAATTTCGCTGGAACAGCTCCACCGACAGGACAACAGCTACAACCTTCTGATGAGGAGATGCCCCTGATCTCACACGATGACAACGCTGCTACTGTACCCAAGTAGATGGCATTGAAGAAAGTGTGCAGAACCTATTTCCAGGCATAGCTGCAGGGAGGGAGAAGCTTGTATTGTCCGTGACCATACCATTTTCTCCCCTCAGCCATGCCTGTTCTAGTAGGGTCCTCACAGAGCCACCTAAAACACGAAGGGTGGACAAAGTGTCCTGGACACAAACACGGTCTCCACGAGTAAGAATGCCCAGCTGGCAGAACAGAAGAACAAGTTCTCAGTTGAACATGTCGTGGGGCCGTAATAAGGTCAAACGCGAAGGTTGGCCAAGATGGAAGGTCTAGAAGTCTGTCATTTTGTGACAAGAAAGGCAACATGGAAACAGTGATTAATCTTCAGTTGTTGGAAGCTATTAGAACAGCCGTTACAATTTTTCATTTTAACACTGAGTCCGCATGGTAGCATGTTCTCAAAACTGACCAAAATCGATTTCTAAAGAGAACTAAAAGAAATCAGGCAAGAGCAATAGAACACATGTCCAGAGTGTTCAAACTGTTTATTATCAGACCTACACATTAGTTGATCAGCTTGTTGCGTGTATCCTCAAGCAATAAGTCAACAAGGTGATTCACTTGAGTCAATATTTGAAGTAAAAAAAACAAGACCTATGAGTCACTGTCACAAATGCTCTCTGTGCCCTTGATGATTTCATGTCCAGCCAATAGTCACATTATATCTGTAAAAGTTGAAATGCTGTGAAGTAAAGTTGGAACAACTCTTCTGCATATGTATGGTACTCCTATATAAATCGCTATGTGCAAACACGCTGTAAATGTTTTGCTGACTCCAGTATAATTGCTCCTACATACTGCAATATGAAGACGTGCTGGTACTTGATTAGTCCAATGTTCAAGTGCACATGTACTTTCTGTATTCACATCATTATCAGTGGTATTGAAATTTCATTTTATGCATTAAAACGCTCGTTTGCAATTGCCTGCTGTGATGTTGATACCAATGTTTTGTATTGTAACGCTCCACGAAGTCAAGAATCATTCACATATATCCGTAAAGTCAACCAGAGAAGAGATATTGAATTAAAAAAATACAAGGGGGAAATCCTTACATTCTTTTCGATCATGTGATATCTCTCAGTTTCTAACATAGCCCAATCAGTTAACAGAAAAGAACCTACTGCATCTGTTTGAATGACGTTAATGTTAGCAGAAAGCATGATGATGATAGGTCGATTAATCGTACATTGGGTTCTGACTCCGTTTCAACAGCGACAAACCGATTAAGTCATCTTGTTTGCCCATGTTCTGACCTGCCTTTAAGTAATGTAGTCAACAGGACACGGTGGCTACTTTATTGACACGGAACTACTGCATGCCGTAAGTTGCCGCGCCCCGCCCCGCGCCTCTTCCTGTGGCATGTTGGGGCAGGTGTCTTTGCCGTTCCTCAGTTAACTAACAAGAACGAACTCCGGTAACGAGTCATCAGTGACGCTAAGTGAGCAAATATTTGGTTATTAAACAAATATCATACTTAAAATGTGGCCGGATGTAGTAGCCACGAATCATCTTCTACAGCGTAACGTGGCCGGACGACAGCGTGAACACACCGACATCATGCCAGACGTCAGCAAGTTGTTGTCAGTTATGTCACAGTAAGTTCTCTATGTTGTCTCTACATTTATTGGGGATTCTGCCTGTTCTCGTCTCGTTACGAATTACCTAAAATATACCAGCGCAATCTACTTATAGGCATGCCAACATGACACGGTTTTCAAACATTTTTTCTTGACTACCCCAAGCCCAGTACATTGCGGGCCGGTTCTAACTCTGAAGACGGACAGAGCTAGGTGCAGTGCGGCGGCGTGTTGGGTCTCCATACATTTTTTCCACAGATGCCACGTTCTTTTAATGAAATGGGCGCACACAAGGGAACAACTCCTTAAACACTCGTGATCGTTACGTGTCTTGCTTGGGGAGTTCCCCAACAGTCTCTACACTGTGACGTAGACTAGGCAGGATACGAGTTTTGATCTTTGTTATCTACTCCTGAACAGCCAACACCTGACAATGCCTGAGTGGCACGGCGAAGAGAAAACAGTTATTGTAGTACAGTAGTTCTATTTCAGTTTTGCAACTAGTTGCATTCACCATTCATAATGAACTTCTTTTTGGAAAGCATGGTATCCATTTTAAAGTAAAACTATATGCACGTTTTACTTTACCACAGAAACATATTATTTTCAGATGGAACATCACAGACAAGAGCAGCTATCGGACCTTCCGTGGGCTACTTTGCTTTTTGGTGAGGACCTTTCTGTGTTCTCGAAACTGTTACTAGTGTTAGAATTTTTTTCTGACACGGTGCATTGATGAGCAAGTGAGAGAAATTCAACTTCTCTTTACCAATGTAGGCGTACATACTGCCTGATCAAAGGTCTTCTTAAGTTCTTTTCCTCCCTGTACCGCTATGATACTGTTATATAATGGTCTCTGTGGTCGCCACCATACCTGTACTGTCTTCTATAATCAGTGATATGTCAACAAACATAACCATGTTTTAATCCACAATAGCAGTGAGGTTGCCATTGGCACCATATCTTCCAAATATTGAAAACATAAAACGTCTATCCACAGGTATTTACATGTGCAGCCAGTGTAGATGACTGCCCAGAAAACGAGTACTACATGGAGAAGTGGTGCATTCCCTGTACGATCTGCGAGCACCTGAACAAGGAAGAGCTGCAGCCCTGTCTCCCGCAGTCTGATGCTGTCTGTGGAGACTGCTTTCCAGGGTACGCCTAAAGAATTTTAGTTTGTTTGTGTGTTTGTTTTGTGTGGTGTGTATGCGTATATGTATGTGTGTGTGTGTGTGTGTGTGTGTGTGTGTGTGTGTGTGTGTGTGTGTGTGTGTGTGTGTGTGTGTGTGTGTGTGTGTGTGTGTGTGTGTGTGTGTGTGTGTGTGTGTGTGTGTGTGTGTATGTGTGTGTGTGTGTGTGTGTGTGTGTGTGTGTGTATGGGTACGTGCTAGTGTGTTTGGTACGCATCCTGGTCATTTATCGTGGACAGGGCCATAAAATAAAATTCACATGTTGTTTGTATACGTAGATACTACATGGACCAGCGATATTGCCATTCCTGTGAGTACGCGCCCGCAGACAACAGGTACTGTCAGCTGTGGCTGGCCTCTCAAACTACCTCTAGGCCTGCTGCAGGCACTACAATTTCAACGAGTACACATGCACAGATACAGCATTCTGTCGTACAAACAACGCCGCCATCGGTGACTGAAGAGGCACCAGGGAAGCCAACAAGTGAGTGTGCCGGTCATTAACAGCAGACTGAACAATTTGTTTTATTTTGAAACGTATATGATAAAAAAAATGTATCTCGTTTTTCACATAGGCCGATCTCTATATCCTGGTGAAATCGCAGCCATTGTTGTTTCCTCATTGGTTGGACTGGCTCTCTTCATCGGTGTCTTGGTGTTGGTAAAAATATACCGGAACAATAACGAAGAAGGTAATGAACCTATATGAGCTGTCCTTACTTGTGTGTTGTTATTACTTCATCATAAGAATTATATAAGTTATCGTTCATTCCCTTTATTCATTGACAGGTAAATATGAGTTATGGTTGAGCGAACATTTAATATGAATTTTACAAACAAAAAAAAAACATCAAATTTGGTACCTATATTCCCCTCTATTCAAAGTCATCAATGAAAAATGAAATCGTCAAACGATTAGAAATCTGTTCACTCTCGAAGGTTTGACGTGGGGAAATCGACGTAAACAAATTCGTTCTTTTTTTCCTTTCAGCGACTCCTATCCAAGCAACTGGCGAAGACCAACAAGGTCACAACTACACTTGATCTTAATACTTCTAACACGAGGATATGCTGGTTTAAAAAATAAGCTAGATGTTGTGACGGCGTTTTTGGAAAGAGCTACTACATTTGTACTACCACAAGTCAACTTGTTTGCTCAATAAAAAAATTAATCCTGGTTTTATGTCGCGGGCTAGAAAGGCAAGTCTGATCGAGTGCTTATTAACTTATCACAACACAGTTCATTTCATGCAGGTGTAAATTTTACTGAACAATTTCTACCATATCCTTGGTGCTCTCCACCATCACGTCTTATCCGCAGTAAGTTAGAACAAGGACATTTAAAATCAAACTGATTTAAACCTCCTTGGTTAGAATACGTAACATTTATCAATCTGTGTGGTCGTGTAACGTAACGACAGAGTGCTCGACTCGAAACAAGTCCCGGGTTGGGAAAAGCACTTTACTATACGACTTTCCCCACTTAACTCAAGTGAAAATGAGTATTTTCCTGCTTGTATGTCCTCTGCGTTGGTGGCGGCATAAAATAAGTTTATATAATTGAGTGTGCCGTCACCATGTCTAATCATGAAATGTTGGAATAAAAAAATCTATGGAAATCAAATAAAATACACATAGAACGATTTCTGAGCGTCTTTATTGGTACCATCTGCGAAGGCTGGGTGATTCTCTTTACATTGCCTCTGGAGTATATGCACAGTAGAACAGAGTACATGTACATGAGAATAAATTATATATTCTCTCTAGTCAGGAAAGATAGAGGAATTTTCTTTATTTCTTTCAACAATTTTTGGTCTATGTACAACGGGATCAGCAATAGGGGTGATTCGGCGATTCTCTAAGCAAAATACTATCGCTGATTTCTGTATTTTCGCCCGACTCTCTATACACAACTGTACAGGTGCGTGCCCATAGCTAGCATTACGTAATCTCCACAACAACGAAGAAAGCGTCCTCTCTCCTTAGCCACAGGCGTCCTTTTCCATAACCAAGTGTGAACATAGTTCAAGGTCTAGTTCATAGTACAACTACATTGTAGTTTGAAACAATTCTTGTCGTAGTATTTTCCAGTTCCGTCATGGAAACCATCCGACGCTACCGCCAGCTACGACTTTTGTATTCGGTTTTTGACAAGAAACGCCTTCACTATGTTCATTATGAGACCTTAGCACGCCCAGGACCATGACAACGTCATGAAACCACTAGAAAATACTTGCAAGGGGAACTCCAGGAAGTAAACCGAACAAAACAGTCTCATGTAACGCTGCCTAACACCATCCATGTCTTGCATGCTACCAAAGCGCACACCCGATAAACAACGAAGCAAGCGAAAAATGTTTGCATTGGTCCTCTCTTGGCTATCAAGAAAATAAATATCGTGATTTTTTTTTAAATATTCGTAATTATACTAGATAGATACACGACACATGTACACCATGACACATGTACACACACATAGTAAGGGTGACAACTGCTCCAACTTTGTACAAACATTTAGCTTGTAGTAAGTTGTACAGAAAACTGCTATTCCTACGTAAGTCCGTATCTTGTGCTCAGTGTCTGGGATCCGAAGACAGGTGGTGTGAAAGTATCTCCAAATCTGGTGTTCAAAAATAACCACAAGAACGTTGAACTGCTCTCTCCCATTCACTTTGATAACTCCAAAGGCTAACACTGCCTAACATGGAAACTGTTGATCAACACAGAATTATTTCCTTACTTCTTCGCGGATGAACAAACTTCTTCATGAGGCAATAGTAGCACGGATGGATAGATGCGGTTCATGCACACCTCGCTAGATGGGGTTCTTGAGCATACGGCCGTGGCGAAAGTCGTAGACCCGTCGGCAGAAGTAGACGCTCTCGGGGTCCACGTTGTCGGGCAGACGGCGGTGAGGAGGGAGGAAGGCGGAGAAGTCCACTTCATCCAGCGGCACAACAGTGTTCAAGCTGCCCAGGACTTCCCCTCGCACTTTCAACTGCCGACGGAATCTGGATTGTGGAGAAACAACGTTTAGACAAGGACAGGCAGTGAACTGAAATGGGAAACCATAGCCTGGGCGCCATAAGGCATAACCTCTTATTTCGCTCTTAATGTTAAGTGTGGGAGAGATGGGAGAAAGATTAAACTATGGAGGATGGCACCTACTGAATATCATTCCTGGAGTTATGACCGCTATCATCAGATAATGATCAGTGTCGGGGACATACATGTCAGATGTCTGTTCCCAAAGTTACGCAGCAGATATCCTAGGGTACCTTTCGGGCAGGTTAGAGCTCGCTCATCCCACACTAATGATTCCCTCAGATAGGGAACGGCCGAATGGAGGACAATTACAGGTGATTAATAAGGGGGGTTAAAAAGAATCGATATCCGCCATCATCTGTACAAAAGACTAATGATGTCGTGTTTCTGACCTGCAGAACTCGGAGTAGGTGAGTACGTAACACTTGTCCTCGATACACGCCACACTGTTCTCGTCTGGGTGACGAGCCGCGAACAGTTCACACTGAAACACACAAATATAACAGGAAAATCGTTAAATGCACAACTGTTCAATAGACTTAGGATTTGTCTAGTTGTTCTTTTGCAATTTTGTAAAGACTCCACGACATTTTTTGGGAGCTCACACTGGAGATTATTCTCACCAAACTGCAACAAAATATTCAATTATTTTGTATATGATGTAATTAGCTTTCTCTACTACACAGCTATCAAAAACGTCACAACATCATTTTCAGATAAATTAGTGCTGTATACTGAACGCCTGACGCATTCATCGCCGAGGAAAACGTTAAAACGCCCGTGTTGTCCTACGTTTTCTCCCTCTCCATAACCATGACCGGGAGTCAAGTCCTTCCGTCTGGGGAAGAGTTAGGAGCAGTTCGATGTGCCCTGACCTGATGTTAGGAGAGCGCTAGCCAGGGCGAGCTGGCGCCGCTCCAACACGCTAATCTTAGCACGTGGCTGTGCGCACGTCTGGAGTGCGTCTGTAGGGTCTTACAATCAACTTACTGCTTAATGTGTGCTTCTTGGAAAGGTTAGACCATTGTAACTATCTCACGAAGTTGAACATCTCGCGTATATCTTTCACGGTCGTTTTTAAAACGCCAACGTTTGTGTAGAAGCGTGACACACCACTTAGTGTTCATTTCAAGTGGTTGTTACATTTACACCATCAATCAAGTAGCAATAGTATTCTTGTAGGATATCTTTGTAAACTACTATTGTATCCCCCTTGGGTCCTGTATGGCAAAATCCCTTTTTCCAACAGTTTTGATGTATCATCAATTAACAAGTGTCAGCCCTGAATCACCTTGACACCCCACTGACTTTGACAGTCGCAGGGCCATCAGTACAAGTGACCCTCCTGTCGAGCCCCTGTGTCGAGCCGGTCTATTCGCCTAACCCATCTGTCTCCATCTTCCCTCCCTGATCACTGAACCAAGGACTGTGACGGCTGCTTCGTTAGGACGTTCCACCAGCTGCAGATGATCTGGTGTTATTGTTTCCAGCTACTGTACAATGTATACTATACTATACTATACAATGTATGTACTTGACGTCGCTCATAGCTACTATGGGAAATTTGTTGCGACATTTAACAGCTTTTTCTTACATACTGGAATTTGAGTCTACTGAGTAAGGGACAGTTCCAAGTAAAGCTAAAAGGTAAAGCAGACCAAGCGTAAGGCTTTTTCGATACGCGATATTCCAATACGGCTACAACTGGCGTTTTCCATAATCCAGCCAAGCACACCAGAGAAAATTCGCTGCGTGTATTTCATGTGTTACAACAGTTTAACTTCATCTGTCTACTAAACGCTAGCACAACGACCTCACATGCTCCCCTGGACTGAAGTACCTGAGAAGTCGCGGTATAAACCAGCACGTTTCATGGCGCAGGCCCACGTGGGAGGTGGCGGTACCTCTCCTAATGAGCCTGCCCGAGCGAGATCTCCCATTTGTGACGGCTTGGAACAGTTGACGCGCCCACGTGTGGGACTTGAAAGTGGTGGTTGACGTTTGAAGTGCGCACATGTTGGGCACGAACGGGTTAATCATGCGGCCATGACGCAAGGGGAAGACGGCACCAAACTAATGAGTCACGGTACACCCGCAGTGGAAACGTCTCCCTGATAGATTACTAAAACACCTGTTTGTGTGCCTGAGCTGCAACGTCACAACCACAAATCAC